TATTGCGTCCTCGTGCTTCCATTACTGCGTTTACCCGATTTGGCATGCTGTACACCAAGTTTCTTAGACGACTTCGGGGAACGTTCTCCCATTCCTCTATGAGAGCAATTTTGAGCTCACAAAGCGTAAGTGAGGGTAAGGGGAGGGTTTCGATGTTTTACGCATCTCCCTAGCTCGTCCCAAGCATGCTCGATCGGGTTGATATCCGAACTGGATGCTGGCCACTCCTGTATGAGGTTGGGCATTGTCATGCATAAAAATAGCATCCTCACCCAAATTGACCATAAATGGACCAACGTGTTCATTCAAGATTTCTTCCACATATCTTTCGCTAGTTAAAGAGCCGTTTTCTATGAACACGAGTTCTGTGCGACTCTCAGAAGAAATTCCGGCCCACTCAAGTACAGACCCACCACCGTAAGCTACTTTTTCTGCGATGCATGCTTGCTTGAATCTCTCAGAGGTCTTCTATATACTTTGTGTCTTCCATCGTGCTTGTAGAGCATAAATTTTGATCCATCGGAGAACATAACTTTTGACCAATCATCAATAGTCCAATTTCAGTGGTTAGTCTTGAAATACGATGCCCACACTCCAGTTTAGGGCCCTTTGCAGTTCTAAGTGGTTTCAAGCTAGCTTCAGCAAGTCGTCGTCTTACTGTCCATGCGCTTGGGTTACTTCCTCCGAGGCGTCGAAACCGATTTGCAATTTCAGTTCCTGTGAGAAAGCTATTTCGAAGTATGGTTTTCACCAAGTATCAATCTTCTCATGCTATGGTATACCTGGTTCTGCCTGTTCCTGGTCTGCGTAGGCTAGAGCCAGTTTCCTCGTAACATCGGAGAACTCTTTGTACTGTTGACAGCGACACATCGACAGTCCTGACTGTATCGCGCTGACTTCGGCCGGTTTCCAGCATTGTGAGAATTCTGGTGCATTCTTCAGGTGTAAGCAATATGATTACAGCTTGAAGAATTAATATTGAACACCATCGACATGGTTTATATGAATGATAAATGACAGACTAGAAACAAAAGTAAAAACAAATGCAGAAAGTTCTATCTCCGAAAGTCTCCCTTTTTCAAATTTTATTTTTTTATGATATAACTTTACAATAACTAAGAAGTTTAAATATATTCTTTTAAGAAGTATTTAATTGTCTTTTAATTAGAATTTATTTCACTAAGCGAGATTTTTAGGAATCTTTAAGTGACCCGGATTCATTGCTCTCGAGTGTATAATATCATTTCACTTGTGCTGTTGCTTACTCTGACCCCATACCCTACCCCGTGGAGCTTTGCCACCTTGCTTTTATTAAGGAGAGTTGGAGAGTACTTTTTCGATAATTATTGCATTACTATTTGAATAGGCTATTTGATTTTTATTGATAAAGTTCATAATGAGTCAATTTTATTAGTATAACATATATAGTCATTGTGAACCTCTCAACATATTGATTTATTATGTAAAATATGTGTTTTTATATAGTTAATACAATGACGTATTAAGATGCATTTCTTAGATACAGCTACGTGATTAAAGTAGGTTATGCTTGCTCTGCAGATATACAAGATTACTGTACGTGACTCGTACATATTGCCAATTTAAAAGAAAAGAAAAACAATGATACAATACCAGAAATCTTAAACATATTCACATCAAAGTGCATGATTACAAAATGTTAACATATCTTCTGATTCTAATATTTAAATTGGTTTGCATTTGATAACTTGATATGATATTTTCTCCGTAACGACACTGAGAAGACGTTACGATAACAAATTATGTGGTATATTAGTTATTCCTGTGTAGCCTAGGTAGGCTCCTATTTATTTACTTAATTGTTTCCACAAAATATGTTTCTTATCGTAAATTTTGATATTGTAATAATTTTTAACAATGATATATATAATACTCATAGCTTTTTGATGCTTCGAATTTGATGAAACTTTGTTTAAAACAATAATTAACTCTTAAAATTTCAACTAATATATCTTTTCACATTTCAAGAGTACATAAGTTTACAATTTTCATACAGTATTATTTTACAAATAATGTTTACAACCACAATTACAAAGAAAGTAGCTTTTTACCTATTTATGCCTTCAATGAAAACTTATAACTTAAGATCTAAACAGTCGTTATTACAGCTATAATTAAATTTGATTTCATAATAGTTACATTGACTCGAGCACATGATTGATGATCTAGCACTTTACCCATACGAATGTGACACACATTATTTTTACTTGCACATATTCTTCCGACTTGCTATGCATTTTTTTTATAAATTAATCTCTGTTTGCTCATTTCGGTTTTTGTTTGATAAATCTTGACATGAAATTATAACATATAAATAACAGCATATTTTTGCTGATTAATTGATCGACATTATTATGAAACATTATATGTCTGTTGCATTCTTGATAATAGGATAGCAATGTTATGACTTATACTAAAAAACTTAGTTAGACCACATTTTCAGAACCTTACTTACTTGTTGCAAAATGATCTAAGTCTAGGGTGCTCCTTAATCTTAATGATTGATAAAAATGATATCAGTGGATGTGACCACAATGTTTAAATTGATAAATAATGCTAATTAAATGCTAAGTTATGTAGGGTGGTCCCATAACGTTAAAATTGCTAAATTGATTGATATTAAAAATGATATTCGGTGGAAGTCTCCACAGTTTAAATTGATAAAAAATGCTCAATTAATAAATATAATATTTATGTAACACAATAACATTCTCTCTCCAAAATGATACTTAAAACAAGAAATGATAGTTGACTCGTATGATAGAGCCAGCAAAAATTATATCAGTGGATATGTCCACAATGTTTAATTGTTACTTAGTAAAGCTAAATTAACTGATTTGTAACGTAGAATGTCTGCTACAAGTTACGATTGATAAAAAATAGAATTGATTGATATGATAATTATAGCAAGTCTCCTTAATGCTACAAAATGATATAAATGATATCAGTGGATGTCTCCACAATGTTACAATTGATACTTAAATGCTAAATTTATTGATTTGTAATGTAGATTGTTTGCTATAAGTTACAATTGATAAAAAATATAAAAAAATGATATTATAAAAATAAAGGATGTCTCCTCAATGATATAAATGATATAAACGATATCAGTGGTTGTCTCCACATTGGTTTAATTGATACTTAAATACTAAATTTAATCAATGATATGATATATGCTTGCCCATATTAATAATACTCTACTCCTAAGAAGATACTTAAAACAAGAAATGTTAATTGAGTCATTTCATAAACCTAGCCGTTCTGCTAATGCTAGGACTCTCAAACCTTGTTATGTTCCGCGATGCTACTTCCTGTGCAAGTTGACGAAGTTGTTGCGGCTTCATTTCACCAGCGATGAAGACGGTGTTGATACTGATATGGATGCTGCTTCTTAAATGACCCAAACGCACCAAATGGTGATAATAGTGTTCCTGTTGTTGTAAATTATTACGTTAACTTGCGCTCCATGTCTTGTCTTCGCAGAGTAATCGAGTGCCCTTCCTTCCTGATATTTCTCGACGTTCGTGTAAAACCATGATCGTATGTGACAAGATGTTAAGCTGCTATAAAGCAGCTTTCGTTTATCTACTTGCATCACAGTGTATGCGCCTTCTCAATTCAGCCAGTGAGACCCGCTTGTGGGAGGCCGGGTGAATCGATCCGCCACTGTCAAAAATATTCCTTGATGAAAAATAATATATTATGATAAGTACCTTAGTGTTGTTGATATCCATGGCCAGGTTACACAGGAACAATCACTGTCGCGAATTGATCCCGTTTTTCCAAGCTCGGAGGACCGTATATGTTGAGAGGTTCACATTTTGATAACTCGAAGGACCAAACTGTAGGGGTGACCCCCTACCTAATGATATTAGGATGAAGGAAGGAAGACAACTGTTATTGTTGAATGCATGAGGAGCATTGATTTATTATGTAAAATATGTGTTTTTATATAGTTAATACAATGACGTATTATGATGCATTTCTTAGATACAGCTACGTGATTAAAGTAGGTTATGCTTGCTCTGCAGATATACAAGATTACTGTACGTGACTCGTACAGTCATAATAACAATAATAATTAAATAATCTATTTGTATTAATTACGTCAGTGTCGTTTCACGTTACGTGCTTTCTAGGCATAACTGAAAACCAGTGCTTTGCTCTCAGAGCAAAGGTATCGCTGAGTTTCTGTCATACCGTACTGATGGGAATAAATGATTTATCTATCTATATATTTTTTACTTTCCTTGTCGTTAAAAATATATTTAAAACCATACTAATAAAATACTACGTGAAAACTAGAAGGGGATGGCATTAGCATATACTACGAGTAAATTATTAAATCACTAAGGGAACCAGCCGGTAGTAGTAGGGGGGTAACATTTTTAAAAATAGGGTCACGAAATTTGTGTACGTTCCATTATAATGTTCATTGTCAGAATTTTTCTTTTCAAAAACTAAGTTATTTTTTGTACCGGTTTCAAAAAGCGAAACATATTTCTTATTCAGCAATCGGTTTCGAAAGCAAAATATTTTCCTTTTTCGAAACCGGTTTCGAAAGTAAAAATATTTTCCTTTTTCGAAACCAGAAATATTTTTCATTTTTCCGGACCAGTTGCGAGAGAAGAATTTAAATATCTTTTATCGAAACTGGTTTCGAAAACAGTCGAAGGGAAAAAATTACAGACTTGGTAAATATTTGTATGGACGTTGAAAAATCATGTCAGCTGAGATTGACCAATCTCTTCCTGTAATTCACGAATTTCTAAAACAACGAACGCAGGCTATAAAAATATAAATACAAATTCACTGCTGAATGACCCATATGATTTATACAAATGTTACAAGATTTCTTTTAAGATTTCCAAATTTAAATCTGATATCGTAATTTTCGAAATATGACAATAGACGCTACATTTTGTTATCGCTAATCATCTGTTTGTTCTCCCGATGACCAGTAAGGAGATCGTATATGGTATGCCATACACGAGACTACTCGACGGACACATTCGATTATCTTCTCGGGGTCGAACAGAGACCGGTCACTCCGAACATCTCCAGCAAAACCAGGGCTTGCGTCATCAACTGGCTCATGAGGGTCAACGTAAGTGTTGGGAATACTTGTTTTATAAAGTTGATAGTAAATTGTACCAGATTCTACATATGAGCATGCTTTTGTATTTGGAATGATGATGAAGGAGACCGAAGAGCTGGCAGCTACCTCGGACAAAGAGTTAGTATAGCTATTCAAAGAGGGAACGGTGCCAGTATCTTTGGAACCTTGCCTAAAGGGACTCCTTTTAATGATACATTTTAGTTATTATATTATACTAGCTGTGCCCCGCGGTATTAGCCGTGGTTATTAGGGAACATAAATTGTGTAATTATGTGTTAATCCAGGGTGACAGCTAACTCCATGCCAAATTTTATTGAAATCACTCCAGCCGTTTAGATGTGAAAAAGTAACAAACATACACACTCACAAACTTTCGCCTTTACGATATTAGTGTGATTTTTTAAGGTGTTTAGTTTTAGGTTCATTGTTCTAGTATTTTTTTTATTTCTGTATGATAGTCGTTACTCATTAAATAATTATGTAATTAAACATGTCCAAATATATAATAGTCATTGGAATGATAAATTAAAGTAGAGGAATAGATGATGGGGTTTTTTTTTGTAAGGAAATGCAGACATGATGCTTGGACAAGTAGTCATCTTTCTGTTAATTTGAGTCATTTCATTATATAATCGAAATTTTGGTTAACGCAAACAAGTCAAATTCAACAAAGGTGAAAAAGAAGAAGAAAGAAAGTTACTTGTCTACCTACGCTGATAGATTATTATCTTGGAGTCGTATTCTGTATGTAAATATTTTGTGATTGTAACTAATATACACAATAACTTTGAATTATGATACGTATAATATAAGTCATAAATAATATTTTCGTAATTAAATGTTCCAATGTTTTGGTTGTAATTGGAGATAACTAATCCCATAAATGAACCGGATTGTTTTGGCTATTCAACTCCTAGTGAAAGCCACTGCTACCTGAAACATCTGTAGTGATTCGCTAGCAAATTATAATATCTTCTTTGGCATTGTAGTCTGTAAGATTTTTAAAGTTAACGATTCTTCTAAAAAAAATCTTCTTGATGAATTATAAGATGTCATCTCGAATGTGTACTCCGTTTGTAGTTTAAGAGTCCACATTCACATAAGAAGAGCTTAAAGCTCTACACAATATCTTTTATGCAGCCTTTATTGCTAACCAAGATCTTTGCAGATATATAAGAAACCGTTAGCATGTTAACATTGACAAGTGCTTCAACAACATAAAATTTCTCCATCAGGGTCCAGACGGGAATCCAGCCACTGTCCAAACAGCTGTGTGGTACTTAGACTCAGTACTGGCGACGGGCCAAGTCCAGGTGAACAAGCTCCAGCTGGTCGCCGCCGCTTGCTACTGGGTCGCCCACAAGCTGCACGGCCCAGGCCTCTCCGCCACAAGGCTGGTTAATTGTTCCAACTACGCCTTCACCACTGAAGACCTACTGTGTGCGGAGAAATCTATACTACAAAGACTGGTAATTTTCTAACATTTTTACGAGTTCAATTTTTCTTTTCTATTTTATTATTAAGCTTTTGATTATAGAATGTGAGGATGTATTATTACTATTAGTATAGGGTTTTTCAATAAGAACCGCGTACGTGAATTTTAAATAAATAATTCTAAATTTATAATTTATTATTTTACATTTGGTTGTTCCAAATTAGTTAAAAAAATATGTTTATTATGTAGATTACATCACAAATACCTTTTATATACTTAAAATATTTTGTATTTTTAATTAAATTCAAATCGAAATATCTAAATAACCCAACTAGCTATCGAATTCAATTAAAAACTGGCAGTATAAATTAACAATGAGCTTTACAATGGTATATATTTTGCTCATGTACAAAGAACTTGGTATCTGTACTAACCCCTCGTTGAATTTCTCTTTGAATAGATAGACTGTTCCTCTTGTAATATGACTGGTGACGCTTCCCTGCTGAAACCAAATGTCCGTCTGATCAATTTGTTTCAGTTGAGGAAAAAAAATCCAGTCATTATCACTAATTCACAAGTAAGGCAGCACAGACTTTTTCCTCGAAAAATACGGACCATTTAAGCTAAACACCCAGCCCAAAATACGCATCAGATAGTTAGTACTCTAAGAATGGAACTACCTTTTTTGAATCTCTAAAGGATTTAAAAACCCAAACCAGTAGTTTAAAATTATTTCACTATTTGAATAATAGTGTCTTCTTGCACATTGTTCTTAATATATGTCTGTAGGGAAGAGAATGTCTTGCGTCACCATTTTTGATTAGTTTCTTATTACGGAAGACTGTAGTCACTGTGTTCTGTATCCCAGCAGTAAATAATTGCTACACTAATTGGTGTTGATTAATCAGTTAAGTTTCTTTCCCACCGATTTAGCATCTAGAAATTCTCTCATATATATAAATGTTCCCATCATATATCATATTGCCTAAGCATCGCGCTGGGCATCGAGAGATCCGACCCTACGGTCGTCCTCAGAGTACCGCGCTGGTGCGCCCGCGACGGGCGGTCCAAATATTTTCCGGATCAAATAATTAGTTGACGAATATGCCTCGTTCATTGATATTTCAATGATAAGACTTTAACTATCTGCTCTGCGAAGCAAGAAGCTTACGAATCCTTCTCTATTTCACTGATTTAGAATAAAATGGAAGTCTAAATAAAATAGGCCAAGGCTTAGCTTATTATTGAGTCATTTTGTTACAGAAATTCCCATCTCAACCCGTCGTGGCTCAGGAATATATCACTTACCTATCGTGGTGGTGCGACCGATACCATCCGGGCGAAATCGAGGTGGCAGCCACCTTCCTCTGCATGTGTGGCATCATGGTGGACAAGAGTCTGTGCAACGAGTATCCATCGGTGGTCGCCTGTGCTGCAGTTCGAAATGTTCTGCTACTCTTAGACAAGAAACATCTGATGACACAACTCCAGCTATGTCCAATGTAAGTGAAGTATCTTGTGAACAGCTGCGAAAGTTGTTATTAAAACGCAAAGGTAAGTTCGACAGAGGTAATTTCTTGATATGTACATCATCGGCATGAGTGGCATCATGGTGGACAAGAGTCTGTGTAACGAGTATCCATGGGTGGTCGGCAGCGCTGCAGCCTGGAGTATATTAATAATTCTGGATAAGAATATCTGATAATAAAACTCCAGCTATTCCCACTGTTTAGTGTCAAATGAACAGCTGTTAAAGCTTCTATTAAAAATTTCAAGGTAAATTCGACAAAGGTAATGTCTTGATATATAAATCCATCGGCATGTGTGGCATCAAGGTGAATCATATTGAAGTAATTTTTCAATTTGACGAATCTGTATATAATACAGGGAGAAAAAAAACAACCCTTGCTGAGTTTCTTGCCGGTTCTTCTCAGTACAAGGTCTCCCGCCGTAGATTTGCGAACCGATGGCGTAGCTTTTCGACATCAACAAGTGCTTGTAACAGCCTAGATTGAATAAACGATATTGAATTTGAATTAAGTGGAAAAGAGAACGTTGAATTTCTCTTTGAATAAAAATCCGGAACAATTTTATACTTCCTGATAAGAATATCTGATGATATAGCTCCTGATGATATACCTAGTCTAACTATTGGGTGCCGGTGCCGGTCCCGGTTGCATCTACATTCATCAGCGATGGTAGGTACCAATCGGTAGTGAACCCACATGGTGGGTTATAGCCCAGCCTCCCTTTCCCATTCATAAGGAAGGCCTGTGCTCCAGCAGTGGGGACATTAATAGGCAGGTAATGATGGTTTTCTGATAATATTACATAAAGTTATGTCATAAAGGAACTCATATGTATGCCGTGGTGCTTCGAGTTCATTTACCGTGTACATGTAAATACATATTTGTGCTACGTACGATGGTCATGCACCTCGTAATTTGTCAACAGTATTAGGGTCATCGTTCACTTAACGACCAGCCGATGCAATACCGAGTAAGTCGCATAAAACTTTTTCAGTTTTAAACCTAGAAGTTTAATGCTTTAATAAAAATGTAGTAAAATGTCTTATGTAGTACTTTTTAAAATGTGGTTATAATAATAATAATAATAATAATAATAATAATCTTTATTTTTGAACCATGACGTATACATTATAACAATTTAGCGTTAACAACCGTAGTAGTCTAAGACTGTGTTACAGTTATTAGCGCCCACCTCAAAAGACAGGCACATTACAGACATGATTTGAAACAAAGTGTTTATAATACATTACACTGTGTGTGTTTGTGTGTGTGTGTGTGTGTGTGTGTGTGTGTGTGTGTGTGTGTATGTGTGTGTGTGTGTGTGTATGTGTATATGTAGTGTGTGTGTGATAGAGAGATGTGTGTGCATGTGCATATTTTACTTGATCAACAACTCCACAGTGTCATATTCCAACTCCAGTAACCACCCGCTCAATTTGATCTTACATTCATGCTTTGAGAGAGGGTAAATGTTAAGCCTTTTATTTACTTTGTTATAGAGAAGGGGAGAAATGAAATCATAATGATGTTTTAATAGGGCTATTCGAGAATTTGGAATTTTACACACATTGTCTTTCCTTCTTTTATTTAGTAGGGTGCAAGGGTCATATGGGAGTAGCATATGCTTGCGTAACACAACTTGTTGGACGAATAGTTTGCGGACAGAAAGTACCTGCCAGAAAGCATACACTAACTGGGTGCTGTACCTAATAGGTTTAAATGCCATAACTTTCAAGATGGCTCTTTGTGCTCTTTCAAGTTCCAACATCTTTGACTTTCCAGAGCCCCCCCAAACCGTTATACAGTACGATATTATTGACTGTGCCAGAGAAAAGTATGCAGTTCTGAGGATATGAGAATCAACGAGATGTCTCAGTCTGCTGAAAACAAAAATTAACTTTCTGGTTCGCGAAGTGATAGATCGGATATGTTCGGTCCACGACAACAGATTATCAACAATAACCCCAAGATATCTAATGCTATTTGTACGTGTTATTGATACGCAAGTGCATGAGTTACTGGCTGGCAAATTACAATTGTGTGCTTTCAAACAATAGTCCGAATCGGGTTGTGAGGAGAGTCTGGGAGCAAACGTGATAAATTTAGTTTTATTAATATTTAATGTCAGCATGCTGTTCGAAAGCCATGACATGACCACACTCAAAGCCAACTCAGCGGAAACCCTAGCCTCGTCCCAAGTCTTCCCATTTACTACAATTGCTGTATCATCGGCATAAGACAGGATTTTACAATTTGGCAGTTTTAATTGACACAAGTCATTCATATATATTAGAAACAGGGTAGGTCCAAGGACGCTACCCTGTGGTATACCATATTGAATTGGTTCTTCCTGACTTGTATAATTAGCTATCCGAACAAATTGTCTTCGCGCATTTAAGTAGCTCTTGAATAATTCAAGTGAGACACCCCTAACACCTATACTCTGAAGTTTGCGTAAGAGAATAGGGACAGACACAGTGTCAAAGGCTTTAGAAATATCTAGGAAAACACACAAAGAATTTAATTTATTATTAATATTATTCAATACTGTACTAGTGAGCTCCAAAACAGCATCCTCTGTTGACTTGCCTGGTCTGAAACCATATTGATTTGGAGCCAATAAGTTTTTAGAGTTCAAGTAGTTAGTTAATCTATTATTAAGAATTTTTTCGAAGATTTTTGACAAGGTTGTTAAAATAGAAATGGGTCTATAATTGGTTACACTGTATCTGTCTCCGCTCTTAAAAATGGGATAGACTATTGCTTTTTTAAACACAGCAGGGAAAGTACCAGTAGAGAAACAAAGGTTAAAAAGTTGAGTCAATACTGGAATTAAAACATGCCTTGACTCTTTTATTAATACATTAGAGATGCCATCCCAGCCCGTTGCACAATCCAATCGTAACCCCAGGATTATATCTTCAATTTCTTTGTCATGGGTATCTAGCAGCACCATTGAGTGCATTTCAGAAGTATTACAATCTATGATAGGACAGTTAAAAGAAGATTCTACAGAGCTTTTGGCAATTTTTGATGCTAAACTTTTTCCAACACTAGCAAAATACGTATTCACAAAGTTAACAGCCCTTAAAGGATCTTCCGACACTGTTAGAAGTTCATCACAAGTAGATGCAGTAGTTTGCTTGAGATTAGTGGTACTCTTAATCAGATTCCAAACTTTCTTCGGGTTTTTGTTACATTTAGTGAATTCTGATCGCTCATATTCTTGTTTTAATCTTTTTAGGAGATTATTACAAAAATTCTTATATCTTTTATATGATATACTTAAAACGTCGTTGCTTGGATGTTTTTTTGTTTTAAGATAAAGCCTATCTCTATGCCGAATGCAGCGAAGCAATCCTGGAGTAATCCACGGCTTGGAGATGCGCTTTCTACTAGGGATATAAACAATGGATGTATTGGCTTCGACTGCGGTAGATAATTTATAAATTAAAATGTTAGCAGATGTGTCAGCATTTTCATTGTTAGTAACATCAGAAAAATCTATTTAGTTATAAAAAGATATTTTTTTTTATCAAAATAACAGCTCCATTCAGTTAGGCAGTTAAGAAAAGATTCGTGAGTGCGTGAATCTACAAAGAAAGCGAAGGTTTCAGTGCCATTTGCACGTTTCAAATAATTGACAAAAATATTAAAATATGTATCTTTAATACCAAAAAAGTGTTCGCACTATGCAGTACCTCACTGTGACCTAACAGATTTATTTTAATTTGGTAACGATTTGAAGCATCACAGACAGGAATGTATCCATTTTCCCAGAAATCTTAAATATTCCTGTAGCCATTGGATACTTCGATTTTTTATTGATTCACTGGATTGTAATAATACCAAAATTTATCAATACCATTAATCACATTATTACAATTATTGTTAATATCACAGATTTGAGATGAACTTTATAATACTTTCTAATCTTTCCGGTAAAGTGGAAATTTTATTGGAAACTAGTGACCCACCTTCGCTTCGCTTCGGTGTAGAGCTGTAGTGTAGAATTCGCATTCTTCTCACCTTTTAAACCTTCCCTAGACCTCCCTGAATATTTCAAGACCAAGATAAGATAAATCCGTTCAGCCGTTCTCGAGTTTTAGCGAGACTAACGAACAGCAATTGATTTTTATATATATAGAAGATATATACTGTAATATTCCAAAGTTTACTATTTATATCTCGGAACATTTCTTTAAATCATCGGAATCTAAAACTAGACAGATAGCGATTAGACAATCAAAGTTTGGGCGGCCATATTTGTTTCCATCATTACTGGAACGCTTTGCTTGCTTGTCAATACTTTACTACTTGCTTGACACACTTTGATTTTCGATTGTTGTCAAACAAACAGCCTAAAGTAGTTGGCCATCCGCCGTAAGCCCTTGAGGCTCTTGACTCGTGAGTTTCCATCACGCTTATTGCAATATGAACGGTACTAATGCACACTTAAGTTCATTTTTCAATCCTCTTTTGTTGGAATTTCTAAGATAACTACTGCTGTTATAATGTCACTTTGAGTGAGGTTCATACGTTTTCTCGAATATGTATTTGAAAACTGCATTCCTGGTAAGAATTAAAATAGTGTGTGTTTACTGTTTATTTTATTTATTGTGTTTTCAAGTTCAGATTTCAAGCAACGATTCTAAGCAACACGAAACATTTACACAAACTGCAAATTTTGTCAGTTGATATTTTATATAAGCTTTATGACATGTATAATTTATTCATAGGTTTTTTGCTGTAGTCACTAATATATCAAATAAGTTATTATTAACAAAAGAATTTAGGTATTGAAATATTCAATGTCGGTCAAAAGTGAAAAAAAATTCGGTTCTTAGACTGTTCATGAGTACATATTATACTTATGCTAAACATGTGCCGAAACCTATTGATGATTGGGTCTTATAAAAGAAATGATTATTTTATTGTCTTTGCTTGACGAGTATTAAGCTTTGAACACTGTTGGAACTTGCAAATTCCAACAGTGTTCAAAGCTCTCGTACTTGGTCGGGTCTTTTGCCTTTCTTATTTGCCCACGTACTATTATGGTTATAACAGAGCAACAGATACCTAAAAACGTTTCCGTTTTAAATTACCGTTGAATTTCTAGTATATGTATGCGTTGCACTTTGCACTGGAGGTGATTAAATTCATTCTGAAGTTATATTGCCTTGCTCGGGTTTTTCCTCCAACGTCACACTTTGTACAATATAAATTGGTAATTTGATAAATTGAGATGTCTGGGATTATCTCGTTCAAGATGGGATTAAGTGATGAGCCATTACGCACTGTCGACTAGTCGCCGGCGACTCGGTCGATAGCGACTGTGACCTTCTATAATTTATATAGGTGTTTACGCAAATAAGAAGCACGGCTTCAAATGAAAGCATTCACACTGCGGGCGACTGTCGCAACGACCGGACGTGAAAGTCGAATATACTTGGTATACTGTCGCTCGGCTTGGTCTCTGGCCCTAGTTGCCTATGTTTTGGTCGCGAGAGACTGAATCTCGCCGGCGACCTGTCGACAGTGCGTAACGGCCCGAAATGACGGCTGTCGTCAATCGACAGTGAAATGAATAGGTTTTATGAATAGTATCTGTAGTTAGCTGATGTCATCGGTTCAGTCTTTTGGGGGAAGGAGATCACGTTGGATAGCGTCTCAATAATTAAATATAGACATTAGATTTGACGACTTGAATTGATAAATTGAAGTAAACGAAATTCTACTAAGTCCGTCAGTTAAATTATTAAAAAAATAATGGAAAAGTGTTTTTTCTTTGGTCAATTAACCAAATAATTACAAAAAATAAAACACTTCAAAATTTGGGAGTGGGAGCTCATGACTTAATTTTAAAGTACGTAAAAATTTTACCAAAACGTGACATCGTGCGACATTTCAAATCAATATATCTCTGTAATGTTTTGAATATGTGAATAAAGAAAAAATACGTGTCCAATACATTCTGATAATATACCTGATAGACGAAGAAAAAAAATGTTAGTCGTCACCTCTATTTTCTCTTACGCTTCATATTAACGAGTCCACGACAGCCGTCGCCATCATTCGTCTGCTGCGAGCCGCTCGTGTAGATAAACCCTTAGAGTATTTTATGTTCATGAGTCTAATTTCAACTCATTGTGGTAATAAATGTTTAATTACGCTTTTGTAATCCTAAAGGGTTCCGGTTTTGCCAATGGAGATACGGTATCCTAAAAATACTATTTTTGTTGTTGTATGCTTTGACCCATTTCCAATGTCATGGCAAACGGCAATGAAAATAGATTTGGTGACTCATATCTTCACTATCACACTATCCGCAAATGCGATTCTTTGCCTACTCACGTGTGTCTTCTTCCTGCGATATGGATCCGGTGATTTCACTTCCTGGCCCCCACGTTTGGCTTAGCGAGGAGTGCAGCAGTGGTCTGCGTACATGCTGTTGACTGAGCTTCACACCAATCCTGGCACTGTATGCTTCGTTTTGTGGCGTACATTTAACATTGTAGTGCAGTTTGTTTTCATCTTTCGGCTCGTCGCCCTAAACTGTCAATAATTTCGGACGTGATGATAATCAACCGGCTAATCAAGCCCTGTCTTGTACCGGACAGACTGATTCGCTGCCTAGTCGCCTAAGTTAGGTTGCTGGCGCACGAATCGGGAAGCACTCCCATTCTTTGCCCAGACAATGAGCTCGCTATGCAGGCGCTGTATAACTACTAACTACTGAACCAGCTATCTTCGCTGGACTAAACCGTCACTTGACGAGAGCTCGAGATAGTAAGCTATTGGTCACCGATCTGATGATAAGCTCTGAGAATGTTTCAATTTTTTTTTAATATAAAAATAGTGGCAAACATTCCTATGGCCCTCCTGATGGTAAGTGGCCACCATAATCCATAGACGCTTGCGATACCAAAAATATTATTCGCACCGTTCCCCAACCCAATTCCCTACCATGACCAAATCCCCAACCCGGGTAGCCCTGAAACCTTACTTACCAACAGTTCACTGCAAACTCCTGTAAGGTGGAGGTTACTTCCCCAGACAGGCGTTCCAATTTCAGCGTAAAATCCGCTATGCCTCTCTTAATAATAAACTTTCCACTGCTTCACCAACCTCTTAATATTCAATTATCAGACTGTCATTCATTGAAAACGTGTAATTGTAAAAAGCAGCCATGTATTTTACGTTAACATTGATTAATAACTAAACGTATTTTTCCATCCATGCTCGTTTAGTATGCACTCATAGTGGGAACGGTTTTGTTTATCTTTTTTTATGAACTATTCAGACCGGTTTGTAGTGACGTACGAACCTTTAAATGGACCATCGCAACAGGTCTAACCGCATTGCACACGCTGTCATACTAATAACACTTATAATCAAAGGGATTCTTTGCTCTTCGGTCTTTCTTATGTTCTACTTTTGAAAAGTTTTCGTTTTTTTTATTGTTCAACACACAAATATTTCTTAATTTAGTCACTATTCACGAGTTTTATAGGTACTTGTTTTCGAATATCTAACCCTATTTACTATACCAGTACGACATAAATAAAATTTAGAACACACATTGAGATTTTTGAGAGAGCCATCCAGAAATCTTTCATGTTTCATGAACCGCATAACATTTAAATCACGAAACGGATTTTTTATTAAATATACTTAGTAAATTATGTCATCAAGGGGTGTATTCAGAGACGTTTATTTAATTTAATGTTTGTGAAAGTGGTTGGTTGTTTCTTGTTTTATGACTACAACAAAACTCAACAGTCAACAACCATTCATCAATATTTTGACGACCACTAATTTTAACTATCTGCAGCTGCAAAGGTCTTAGGTTCAAAATCATTTAATGTTCCCGAGGCATGGTTAGGTATAAGTATAAGTTAATTATCTTCCGTAGTGACCGTATGGTCGTATATCCCATAAAAGAGGTCCAAATGGCACTTTCAAAATAATCTTTTAGGGAAGTCGAATGGGGCATTCAAATAAGGTCCAGTGGGTACAGTTGCAGTAGGTCTAATCTTGAAGGTCCAGTGGATACCAGACGAATTCATAAAAGAGATCCAATGGGCATTGAATATAAACAATTTAAGAATATTGAATGGACAATGTAAACCAGGTCCTATACTAGGGACTTTTATATATATATGTATTCAAAACAGTTAATATTGTCAAGGTTACTATTGCATAATTAGACATTTTTCGAAAAATACATGTATGTACATTTAACTAAAGAACAAATAGGAAGATATTTTTAACTAAAAACCTTTTATTATTTATTTATAATAACTAAAATACAATTAAAAGGAGTCCTTTTAGGCAAGCTTCCAAAGATACTGGCAGCGTTCCCCCTTTGAATAGCTAGACTAATTCTTTGTTCGAGGTAGCTGCCAGCTCTTCGGTCTCCTGTGATGTAGAAAACCTTTTTGCTATTTCCTTAAAAAAAACTCACTAATAAAATTGACTTGTATTTAAAACTATATGGAGTGTATCCCTTTTATTCATTACATTATCTTACATTATTTGTTCTGGGTATGGTTGAATATAGTCAGCTTATGGATAGGAGAGAATTGAACCTAGTCATTTATATTTTCAAGGTGCTTCGGGGTAAGATATTTGATCTGGACATACTAGGCATGATTGGTTTTAGTGTTCCGGATAAATAAACTTGGCGTCGGCAGCGGCCGGGCCTGTTGATAGTTTCAGCTAGACGCACGCAATTATTAAGTCAGAATTAATATAAAAAATAGACTTATTCGTTTGTGCTCTGAGACAATTTATAAAACTAGCTGAGTGGATCATCAGTTACAATTTATTTTCCAATAACTTTGTTAATATTATAATGTTATTTTGGAATGGATGTATGTATTGTCTTGCGTATACCTTATATAATGTAATATATGTTAGATATATGTATTTGGTATAAATAAATAAATGTATAAACGAAAGCTTAGGTCCTAAGTTTTTCTCTTGGCATCGATCAAATTCTAGCAATTTACAGTAAAATCTTTGAACAATTCTACAGTGTTGTTCACTTTAGACTTTTTCCATCTACTCTAGAGAAATAGCAGTACCTATGTCTTTTACTTCGACCCCAATGTTATGATTAACCAAATGAATAATGAGATTTTTTCCTATAATTTTTCTCGACAGTTTCAGATCAGCTGAGAAGAAAGCATCTAACATGGCCTACACCTGTTCGCTGTTAAGGAGAGCAGTCCGTACCGTTGTCAGCACTGCATACGAGTATAAGGCACCCTTCGAGCACTACGGCACCCCCCCATCATACATAGCGCAGAGGATCTTCAACGCATCCATCGAATTCAACATCATAGACATAAGAAACACGTGCAGAAACAATTGATACTCAAGAAAAGAACTGGTAGTAATGATTTCCCGGAAAAGATTTGCAGAAATATAATCTTGCGAAAAATGTAAAGTTTCAACAAAGCGGCCATAATCGATTACAAACGTAGAAATGCGTGTATTTGACATTTTAAAACTCTTATGTCAAAGATATAAAAAAAACTCGTTTGAAGGAAAGCTGGAGCTTATATGGGCTTTATATTATGGGCAGTATTGTTCATTATTCATTTTCGGATCGAAAAATACAACATAAACCCCTTTATAATATTGTTCTTCAGCAAAATTGTTATGTGAATGAACGAAAGTTAACATACATTTTATATATATCAATGTACTACCTCATATTAATATATAAATATGTATTTATACCTACATTAACACGCATCTTTATGTATATTACCTAAAGTACTCATTCTATAATTATATTATATCGTGACAGCTATGACTTATGTTTATGTATTGAAATTACTAATGGTTAAAACACAAAAGTAAGCAACATTTCTAAGAATGTTGTTGCTTGTCTATTGAAACGGGGGTTAATGTTTTAATAGTTAATTCTTCAAAACATTCTCACAACGTGTAAAAAAGAGAGTGTCGATTTTAAGGAACACTTGCACCACAAATTAAGGCTTAATCGTGTTTAACACAACATTCCATCTTTTCCAATTGTTTAAAGTCAAATAGAATTTGAATTAGGCTTAAACATGATAAGATTTTAATCTGATTCAAAAATTTTAGTGCAAGTGGGCCTTAATATTTACATCGATATAATTTTTGTGGGCCTTAATATTTCTGATTTCTGATTTGATCGATATTACGCGTGTTGACAGGAAAGCACACGCAAAATTTACTCATAATCATTACTTCGCAATTAGCAAATTGTCAGATAAAAATACATATGCCTATAAAACAAATTATCCCTGTGTGAATTTAATTACTTGCGTAGAAAGTATGTCCCCTCCGAACTAAAAACCCCCGTGTCTCAGTTAAGTATACGTATTATTGAAAATCTTCTTGAAAATGAATTGATTATAGTTAGTTTGAAACTGACGTAACATAGACGACTTATGACTTATTTTATTTTAACATTTAATGACTAAAACTTTGTCTTAACATTTAATTATTTTTAACATTTGAATTGACTTGATTTTCTGACATTTGATAAACTTTATAAGGCTAATGAATCACATTTTTTAAAATAAAGCTGTCACTGTATTGATTTAATAAAATATTACTTAACATTGTTGTTTTCTTTGTTATTAAAATTAATGTATTTCACTATCTAAAATCGCTCTATGCCGGACTGGAACTAAAAACACCAGGTGCAGTGACTATTTAAGCAAGTGCTACAAGGGTATTTACAACAGGCACTCAAAACTGAGAACTCCAATTCTCATCATCATCAAAAATTTTCAAACCGGGTTATCTTTTCTTAAAACGACCTCTGGTTTACGATGTTGTAGACTGTAGAGCATAGATTGGATTTCCTGCTTAAATTGGGAAGCAACCTCCACCTTAAAGGTGACAGACGCAGTAAAATAACATTACCTTCTGGTAGAATGGTACATGATTTCGGGAATAAAATATTTTCTTTTCCTGCCTCCTCAATTCAAACTATATTAATATTGAATATCGTTTAAATCGGTTCAGCGGCGGTGAAATCAATATTCCACATACAAACTTCCAAGTCCCTTTTCTCATAAAAGATGGTTTCTGGGATGAGAACTTTATCTATGTCTTTTCTCGGGACTCAAGCTGTCTCCATACTAAATTTAATCTTAATCGGTTCAGCGGTTTAAACGTGAAGAGGTAACAGACAGGCAGACACACTTCGTATTATTTACATATAATATTAGTACGTAATGACATTAATAAATTGTGGTACGTATGGTGACAAAAGTAATCATACCGATTCACACATTTTTTTTATATTTCTATAAATAATAAACACAATTCAATAAAGATTTGGTATGTGGTTGCGGTTTTCTTGTTTGCCATTGCGTCAGTAAAAAGTTAGGTACGTATACTGATGGCAAACTTCAGACACTGTTTGAAACCATGTCTAGGGCAATGTTGTACCTATAACATTTTAATTAAACTTGTGTAGAACGCATGACTAACTTTTGTAGTAATGAAGTGTAGGTTCTTGATAGATTGTCCCTCCAAAGTTGGCAAATAAATAAATTTCGTAACAGTTATTATGATATCATCAAGAAATAAGTTACACTTAGAAAGCCAACACAAAGAGTCAAAAAACCAAAATAAATAATTTATTTATATACAGCATTAATTCACCACGCTGGCCAAGCAACTTCATATTATTGAAAGAGCCTTAAAATAAATCCTAATAAATGAAAATAAACCTGAGATTGGAAAGAAGCTAATCGAGGAAACAAGAACCGGCTGGAATGGGAAAACCGAAAACGTAGGTATTGCTTTTATACTAGTTCTATACGTAGACACGGCAACAGCCAAATATGACCCTTGAGCCCAAGAGTTAAAGTTTGAAATCAATCTGCGAGCAGTTAAGCGACAACTTGCCATACAAAATTATCTTGTTTACGGTCATCAAGGCAGAGTCACTTGAGCTTACAGTACTAACCACACGTTTATAACAGGAGGCATGATACAGGTCATTGCAAAAATATAACTGAATAATCTGCATCCAGAATTTAAAGACTTGTTTTTGTGATCTAAACAGTGTATAGTTATAAAACAATACAATGGATTTAAAATGTGAGTACCTTGTATTTACGCAAGACAAAATTTGACTTTTAATGTGACTATTAATAACGTAGAAGTATGTTTGTTTATAAATATAAATTATTTTAAACATGACCTCATCACGTGATCTGAAGATTAATAAATTTAGAAGGTTAAACTGGAGTTTGGTATATTTTTTCTGAAAAAGACTATTGAGTATTTGGGGCCTATTGTTTACGCTTTAAGATAAGATATTATACCGTAGTCAAATATGCATAACCAAAAAGGAAACAATTTTGATATAATATAGCTAAATAAAAAACTTTCAAATATAACTAAACCAAATACATTTTATTTTAATACATTATAACCACCTCAGAACCAATATTGTACTTATAATAATGTAATAATAACAAATCAAAAGAAACTTATCGAAGGAAACTAAATAATAATAGTCAGCGCCTGTAGTATTAAATTATCCATAATGTTGCAGCGAAGATTATTGTCGTTGAGATAATCGTATGTACGTACGTAGGCGTATGAGACAAAACAATAAAAAACGAAAACAAACTAAAAATATAAGCATTTGATTGATGATAATAAAATCATTGACGATAGTAATGACAATTTGTATAAAATATACAAGTTACTCTTGTATGACAAAGTAAAATTGGACATACGTACGTCTGGGAAAGTATTAAGGCATTGATTAGTAATATCAATTAGATAATTTGGTTTATAATCGGTATAATACTATAAGTGCTGACGTTTCCTGAACCACAATTTCTTCAGAAAGTAACTGTTACGATTTATGACATAGTTTAGGAAGAGAGGAATAATGTCATAATTACTCTCTTCTTAAACTATTCAAATATCATCACTGCAAACAATGGTGTTTACGTTTTAGTTGCATCAGTGTTATAGCTTGTATAATATTACCTCATTCTTCGTTTATAACTGTAACTATTTACTTTTCAGGTATACTAACATTATCTTGTTTTTCTTTATTGAAAAATTCGCAAGGACAAGAACCTTTCAACCGTGGAGTTGTGAATCCAGATGCAATATATTTCAATGATGGGGGAATTAGATATCCAATGAATGTATTGCCTCTCGATAACAGGCAAGCCAGCTTGACAAATCTTGATGCCAATTACTTGCAAGGAAACCGAGGAAATGTTATTCCAGCACAAGCTCAAGCAATTTCTCAACAAAATAGCAATTTTGCAAATAATCTAAATGTACAGAATCAAATTCAGAACCTTATACCAAGACCAAGTCCTAATACGGAATCTCCATATTATGGACAAAACTACATCAATAGATTTGGTAATGGGAACATGGCCGGTATTAACAGAAATATAAAAAATGAAACTTTTAGTCCAGTATCCCTGGCCTTATCTGATTTCAGTATAAGACTGATGAAGGTTTGTATATTCATTTGGACACAATTTTTGGATAATAAGGTATACAAATGATTGTGGAAAATCCCAAATAATTCAAGTCCAAACTATTGCTGAATTTTCACAAATCAACTTGTATTATACTTAATAAATTAATAAAGAATTCCAAAGGTATGAAACAATCTATGTTAAATATAAAAAAAACTTTATTTATTACAGAGTATTCCGAGGCAGCAAGGTAACTTAGTGGTGTCACCATTCTCGATTGCGACTCTCTTGGCTCTTCTCCAGCAAGGGTCGCTGGGTAGCACACAGCAGCAGATCACAGTCGCCTTACAGTTAACACCTAATCAAGCGGCTGATGGATTTAGACAGTTGACGGAAACCTTAAATGTGAGTTACAAAAAGCAGTAACTTAATACTATTTATAAGGAAAGTTTTGTGAAAAAAGTTTTTATGTATAAGATACTGGCCACTTGTAATTATTTTGAAAACTTCGATTATTTAAAAGTAAAAATACCACTGTTCGATTTTTAAATTTCCCACCGCATTTTTTCAAGAGCCAATTAAATTTTTCTTGTCTCATTAAACAATGGATCTGCATCAAGAACATTTACGTGCTATGATTTTTTACGATTTTAAAAGTCATTTGATCAATTTCGAACTGCTTTTATGGATGAAAGACCTTCAAAAGCAACCATCTACCGCTGGTGTAGCGAGTTCAAACGCGGTCGTCTTACTTTGGGGGATGAACAAAGGAGTGATCGTCCTACGACTGCTGTCACAGTAGAGAGTGTGCTGGCAGTAAACAATTTAATTCAAGAAAACAGACGACCGACGTACTAAGAGATTCAGCATACTCTGCAAATAAGTTCAGGAAGTGTTCACAAGATATTACAGGAGCACCTTTGCGCAAGGAGGATAGTTTCCCGCTGGTTGCCGCACATCCTCACCGAAGCTCAGAAGCAGGCCCGTTTGGATTGGTGCAGTGATATGATATAAAAAATTGATGCAGGCTCGTCACAGCGCGTTTACGATATTGAGACAGGTGACGAATCCTGGATTTATCAATACGATCCAGAAACAACTGACGCTCAGTTGACAGTTTGGCTGTTTCAAAATGAACCAACGCCTACGAAAGTGAAGCGATCGAGGAGCGCAGGGAAAATGCGATCAAAACGAAGGACTTCCTGGACTCACACCAGTCAGAGTCTTGAGACACCCTCCTTAGAGCCCTGATTTGGCTCGGTGTGTCATCTTTTTATTCCCTAAAATAAAAAATCAGCTCAAAGGGATACAATTTTCAATGCCGGAAGAAGCGCTAGCAGCTTTTGAAAAGGCCGTGGAAGAGGTGTCTGAAAATTGGTTCAGACGCCTGAAACTTTGTATAGAGGCTGGTGGCGAGTTCTTTGAAAAGATTTAATAAAAATATTCTTTTCATAGAAGTTAGGTTTTTAGTTTCTCAAAACTTTCTGAGTGTCTCACGTATTTATGTATAATTCTTCTGTCCTTGTAAATATAATTGAACTCTGCCGCAACGGTCACACAAATTAATGCCCCTACGGGCTTTTTGGTAGTGGGCAGGATATTTCATCACCACCATAGCTTGCATCAAGTTATCGCAAAATATTTGATGCTGGCGTCTTATCGCTGTTATTTACAGACTACTTATACCTAATGGTCGCAGTCAGAACGTCAATTAATTAAATAGTTTGATTTAAAGTTGATACTCTTATCTTTTCTTTTATGATAAAAAACAACATGGCGCTTTCACAATCACTAAATTAAAATGATTTTCAAGTGGAAGACCATTATATCTCATGCCAACTATGATATGGTCAAATTGTGAATTTTTTGACTCTAAAATCAACATCTTTAAAAATTTGGCTGCCGGATATCCTGTTAGATAACCGTGAATGAGTTGGTCAATATACTTGCTTTAATGAATTGAATCATTGACAAATAATGCATAAAATCAATCATCGTTAATACATCAATTTACAAGTTTAAAGTTGTCAACATTTTCACTGTACATTCTTGTATTCATTTATGTAGATCACAGGCTAATAAAACTCATTTAATTTTATATAAAACTTTCAGAATAACTTTTATGACTACTTAAGAATATTGAATGAAAACAAAATCTCATCTGTTTCAGAAACGTTTGTCTTCAAATATTCTCAATGTCGCAAACAGTATATTTATAGCCGAGGGATTCGAAATCAATCCAGCGTATAAAAGGATTGCCATCAATGACTTCTTAAGTGAAGTGAATCCCATCAAATTCAACAGGCCTGCAGTGGCTGCACAGAAGATTAACAATTGGGTGGCCTCAAAGACCAACAATAAGATACTTGATTTAATTACTCCAGGTATAAATAAACAGATATAATCTCATTTGCCTAAAGTTGATCAGTACCCCTAGCACGAACCATTATCGAATTCAAATAGTTTGCAAACCGAAATGTCAATGTCAAATTTTGTATGGAAACTTGAACAGCAGCGGCACAAAGTACATAACGAGAACTAAAAATCAGTACACATTTGACAATGACATTTCGAACTCGCAAACATTACGAATTCGATATTGGTTCGTGCTTGGGGTACAGGTACTTAAATATGAAATTATTAAATTTGTCTAAAGTTGATGTATAGTAATTTTTATGATACCGTGTAGTGACTTTAACCACAAAACAGCAGAAAGTAAATAATGACTTTTTCTAAGTTAAATACCATTGTATACTAAAAAAGCCTCAGCCTTAGCACTTAAAAAAATATTAAAAAAACCTATTTATTTATGTTTAAACAAACGTACGTAACTGTGTATCCGGTACCATTTCATGTAATCGCTATGTTAGTGCTTGCAAAAAAGTATTATTATTGTACGTATTTAATAAGCTATTAATGTAGCACCAATTAAGTTGCAATTGTCTTTAATTACAGTATATATGTACATTATAAAAGTATGCTTTTAGATAGAAGAACTAAAAAGGTCTAATTTCGGCTAATAGCTGTCCAATAGTTAAACGAAGACGATGAAATTCGTTATTCTAAAATTATCACTTACCCACATTTCCACTACTAATGCCTTGATCACACGTACCGAGCAAACGAGCGAGACAGTGCTCTCAGCCGAGCACTCGATACGTATAAACATAGTGCTAGTCTGAGCGATAGCTTACATTACTATCTCGACTGAGAAACATTTTACTGTTTCGCCCATTGATTCGGTCGTGTGATGAAGATATTAAGGATGTTTTTTTTTTGTATATGATATAAGTTTCATTGATGATGTTGATAGACTGTGAACTTAATTAAAAATACTGACAATTAGAACCAAAACTAAAAACATTATATCCGAATTAAGGAATATAAAGATTGCTATCAAAATGTATCATACAGTAATAGTGTTTTTTAATTGGTTTTTACAGAGGCTGTTGCTGCGGATACTCAATTGGTTCTAGTCAATGCAGTATACTTCAAAGGTTTATGGGCAGTAAAGTTCAAGCCTGAATCAACCATGCCCAAAGAATTCTACTTGAGCAACGGTGGGAAGAAAACCGCTGCGTTTATGCGTATGCGACGGTTCTTCAGGACTGATTTTGACCAAACTATCAATTCGCAAGTCCTCGTATTGCCTTTTGAAGTAAGTTTTTGAGATGTTATACATACAATAGAAATTAATTAAAAACTGAAGAGTTTCTTTGTTTGCTTGGTTGAACTCGCTAATCACAGGAACTATCGGTTTGAATTAAAAATAATTGTATTGGAAAGTCCATCCATTAAAGAAGGGCATCATTACGCTACGACCAAGGCATTGATGAAATTGGACGCGCAGGAGGAACAAGGAAATCTATTTGAAAGCTTCCGTTTCGTGCCTTGCGGTTTAAGTGACGCAAAAATCATGTATGACGATTTGTGCCCCTTTAAAAGTTCAAAATATGTCACAGCATATGCATATTGCGTTTTTATAAATTGATTTGCTATAACCTTAGTAACGCAGGTGAAATCGCTGGGCGCAGCTAGTTACGTCATAATTTGGTAGTTTGTAGAACGCAGTTAGGATGCGATACTAGTAGTATTGATTGTATGCGGCTTACCGTCATCCCATGCACTGCCCTATGAATATGATGCAACCTAACACTTGTGCAAATATGATAACATTACCACAAATATTGTATGTGTAGTCTTCTTATAGATGAAGAATCAATGTCCAAGCACGCGTTTCTTTATTTCTAGATTTGTTTTCGAAATGAGTTTCGTTATTTCATTTCTAGCTATCGTTTTTATTAAAAGTATTAATATCAAGTGGACAGTTCATTTGGGGTTTCAAAATTTAAACACGCATTATTATTCAGACCAGATCATGAAGAGAGTAAACCAATAGTTATTATTCTTATACCCCTGTTCCATGATGGTTTTACTACAATTATCATTTTTTTTAATTTACGTGATTGATTTTACAGAATGAATTATATTCATTGGTTTTGATCCTGCCATCGGAAGGTGCATCTGTAGCATCAGCAATCGCATCGTTAACTAAGGAGCAACTGTTATCGTACCAAAAATATTCACCCAAGGAGGTCGCGGTAGAGATACCTAAATTCACAGTGAAAACCGATACTGACCTCGTCTCTGTACTTCGAAATGTAAGTACCTACCTATTCATGTGCGAATATTAGTTTTGAAATTTTGGCTGAGTATACTTAATTAACATAAGCTTCTTTAGAAGTACATAAATGCCAATACACATACATTATCATAAACATTGTAAGTCTAACGTCATCATCTTTGAGATCCTACGCTATCATCATTGTCCAGGAAAAACTAGAAACACAGTTTTGAGAAATGTTGCCGGTACTTCCGACTTACATATCTCTGTTTACACATCTGCCACATTCCAATATTAATTAAAATTTTAATAACCCACATCAAAGAATTCAAAGCAACATGCATCATTCACGCAAACTGCAAGTTTTATTATATTATTGTGATGTTCTGTTTGATATTGTAAATATTGTCATGAAATGCATATTTTTTCAAGTTTTTTTTTGCTTAAGTCCCAAATAATGAACTTGTTTATTATTAACAAAATAATATAAGTATTAAAAATATGAAAAAACTAGACAAACTTAAAAAAAAATTTTGCTTATATTTTCAATTTCCGAATGCAAATCTTTTTTTATATATAAAACGCAATTGTACAATACATACATATCCTTTCACTTTAAAATTCATGAAATGTAACATGAATGTTTTAATTCTTATAACCTTAATCGTTTCTGTTTGTTTCAGCTCGGTATTACGGATATGTTTGGCCCTCGAGCTGAGCTGTCTGGAATCGGAGTTTACCGTGAATTTTCACCGCAAGTTTCATCAGCATTACATTCAGCTTTGTTATCTATAGACGAACAAGGAGGCGTAGCGGCAGCAGCAACCTCTTTCGGGGTTGTGGCTTTATCCTATGATGACCCTTCAGTGATATTTAGAGCTAACAGACCTTTCTTAGCTGTTTTATGGGATAATACAGCATCTGTCCCATTATTTATGGCCAAGATCGAGGATCCTGTGTCTTAAAAGAATTTTGGTACCTATTTTTCTGAAATGTGCATTGCATTGGTGAAATATTTTATGGCGAACATGAACAATTCACGAGTAATATGCGTTACTTTTACGAATTAGTTTCTTTTTTATTTAAATGCTAAAGTTTACAATACATGATGTGAGAATATATAATCAAATGTGAATGTAAGATTTATTTATATGATAATGATACAATGGGTACAAAGTATTTTTAACATTATGTTAATGTTCATAGTAACGAATTTGCTCATAGCTTGTTAAAATTCCGTCTAAAAATAAATATATTTCTACAATACCAATATCAAAAACGCTGACGATATGTTTATGGAGATTTTTTTCATCTAAGTATATTTATAATTTAGAACTAATAAGTAATTAGTATAGATACTTATATTTTCTAAGATAGGTATGTCATTTGTGAGCATTATGTGTAGTATAAATCTTGAATAAATGAGAATTTCCTTTCTCATGTCAGGTGTAAGACCTTTATTAAACTGAAATTTATCTTGTTAGCAGAATGAATAAACATATTGAAAAATGGCCAAGAGGTAACGTTGAAGGCTTAAATTTTGAATTATAGCAGTGTTACCAACCTAAGTTTAGAGGGCTTTCTCCAAATTTCGGGTCAAATTTATAATGATTAATGCGAGGTTTATAAATAAACTAAATTCATTAATATTATTGTTTTTGGGGTTTTCAATAAATTTCTATAAATCAGTTTTTCTCTCAATTTAAATAATATTTGACGGTGCCTTTTTAGCACATTGCTCTTCGGGTGGGCGAGTTAACTAAGGAGTTTTTCGAGTTGCTTTTTACTTTAGCTTAAGGAGTAAATATTTTCGGAAGTTGGTAACACTGTACTAACGTGAAGGTCTTACGAAAATGCCGTTAAAGAATCAGAAGATCGCATTCTAAATTCGGCTCTTTGTTAAGTATTTATTTGCACCTACGATAAAATATTATTCGTATGAAATAAATTAAGTTCACTTGGGAGAAATGAAACAAGGTATATAAGGTATATTCCAGAAAAAATTTAAGATAATATATATTACATTCTAAGTGAATTTCTAATCTCAATATCTTCATATATATTTTAGAACCTTTCATAATCAAAGTTTAAAACATATATTGGAATTACACAAACCTATTTTCATTGCTCTTTAGTGTATATAAAACATGAATCTCATGAACGTATAATTTATTTGGGATAGCCTTTTTAAGACAATGTAGAGAGTATCTATTTAAAAACTAGTCTCCTCTAAATTAAATGATGTATTTTTTTTTACTTCAGTATTTTTATTTAATCTTGAGCAGTTTGAAAAAGTTAATAAAGGGGTCATCAGCGAAGGTTTTAAATTTGCCGCTGAAGTATGGCTCGATTTCTTGCAAGGTCTTGCCTTCAGTTTCTGGGAGGAAAAAGTAAAGGTAAAAGGCACCAGCGTAGCCGAAGGCAGCGTAGATGGCGAAGGCACCGGAGAGCTTGAGGCCTCTCTCAAAATTAAGGAAGGTTTTAGATCCGATGAACATGAAGACGTAGGCGCTGGCCGCTAACACTCCCTGTGCGAATGCACGACTCCTAATGAAGAAAAAAATATAAGAATTATCATCACAATCGTAGAAGTTAAGTAATTGATCTTCTGTTTGTGGCAATTTTTGCTTGGTCTCGCTAATGGAAAACAATTGTGAAGTAAAGTGTTATAGCCAACTAACATGCATGTGGAACCGCAAACGATTATAATCAATAAATGGAAGTTCATCAACTTTTCACAGTATACCTCCGTATTCTACCAAATTTATAAATAACTAGTGGCCCGCCCTCGCTTTGCTTCGGTGTAGAGCTGTAGTGTAGACTATAGTTTTAATTCAAAGGCTTGTATTATACACAATGCCTTTTTATTAATCCTTTTTATTAATAAACCTTCTATTCCATGTAAAAAATAAACGTTGCGTGGTTTAGGACTCGTACCGAATGCAACATTGCTCTGCTGTTCTGATTTGAAAAATTCTTTTTGTATTGAACAGTGCATTTATCGAGGAAGACAATAGGCTATTCATTAGCAGACTACGACCAGTAACAGCGGAGCATTGATGAAAAATGTTGCAGAAACGGGTAAAAATATTCCATTTGTGAGATTCCGTTGCGTGCGCTGGGTAAACGGTTAAAGTTAGACTAAAATCATGTATGACTTAATTCTTTCCCTTTAAAAGTTCTGTAAAAAAGTCTACGACAGCCTATGTCCATATTTTAAGTTTGACTCATTATAAACCTTTTTCTTCAAATTAACGCGTGTGATACCGCAGGGGACCTCTAGTTGTGACACAACTGTAATAGTTAGACATATGGTATCGCGGACTTTTTTGTAGATATTGGTATCCTCTATGAATCTTTAATACATCACTTTATTCTATGTCAATGACTTCCGCAGCGTACACGATATAAGGCTATTTGTTAGTATTTTTTACACACGTTAGGTTACATTATCGATGTTTTCATACGGAATCTTAACTTTTTGAAAATACACTATAACCTATATTAATCAGTGATAATGTAGCATTCAAATGGTAAAAGAATTTTTTTAATCAGTCCAATACTTTTTGAGCCAATTCGTTACAAACATACTTACATACAAATCTTTCCTCTTTATAATATTAGTATAGATGGGCAGTCGTGCGCATATTTTAAATAACTTTCAAGCTGATAGTATAAATGAATGAAAATTTTGCTTAAGATATCTTCTTCTGAACCAATGCAGCATCTATCACAGCAATTGAATTGGTAACAATTCTACATGATTTAAAGATTTATTAGGTATTAAGATCGGATGGATTTATTTTCTGAAACGAAAAACGCACGAGTAGACGCAAACTTACCTAAACGGAAACACTTCACCGAGAAGTATCCAAGGCATACTCGTAGCAAACCCAGCACAAAACGTTAGGACATAAAGTAGCACTAGAGGTATATAACTGCTTTCCTTAGGGAATGTACTAATGTCAAACGAGAACACGGATGCCTCTAAGTTATTTCCAGCGTAAATGCTGAGGGCCATGCACATCAAGCCAGTACTGAACATTGAGGAGATCCCCAATTTTCGCTTGCCAAGAATCCTTATCAATAAGACCAGGAGGCCACTGGTAACGAAGGATATAATGCCGACCATGACCTGAAAGAATTAGTAAAAGACAGGTATAAAATATCGTCTCTGAAAAAAATGTTAGTCTTGGAATAGAAAAAGTGACTAACGGGCATTTTCTGCTTTCGTTACTTAACAATAGTTGTTATTATGTTTTTATTTTAAGCATTTAACTGCTCTAAGCTTTCAATGAGAACTACATATTTGTGCCTCTTGGTTTGAGACTATGGGTCCATGGGTCCAAGCGCTCGTTCCCTTTTTAAGGAATTGTCAAAGAGGCTTACCGAAGGGACTGGTGATCAAAAGGCTGGCAGCTATCTTGGTCATCAGCCTTGCCATCCAACGTGGCAATGCTGCCAGCCTATTGGGCACCAATTCTGATTGCGGCGCTGGGGGTAATATATTTTTATTTTGTAAATTATTTATTCAAGTAACAATTGCTATTTATTCTTTCAGATGGTTGGATGGATGGAAGGTTAATACTTTTAAAGGTATTTCATTTGACATTGTGGGTTACCTGCCATGCGGATAAATGGCGCTGCCTTGCAGTCTAAGAATACTATTTTATTTCATAAAATAAAATATCAATGCAACTAAGCTGTAATAGGCCTGTTACTTACTTAATTTATTAAAACTCGCCGTATTGCTTTCTACGATATTCGTTAATGTGAGCAACATTCATTATTCGCTAAGAATAATTAGCAAACTGCAATGAAACCTAAATAGTAGATAGTCATAAAATGGTGCAAATATCTCTATATTTGCCCTCTGGTTCTAATTCATCAAATAATTTTTTTTGTAGATGAACCTCCCTGATGAATGGTGTATTAGGTAGATTATCAAAAAGTTTATTTATTTACATACATACATATTCATTTTAAATGTCGCATGACGTCACGTCTTGGTACAATTTTCAATTAAAAGTGACGTCACGATTCCTACTACCAAAACATCACGTGCTTTATCTTTGAAATTTTTTGGTTGATTGACATAAGAAAAAATAAGTGTCCATAATTTTTTGATAAATTTATCCGACGGACTGAATAGAATTTTGTTTTCTTTAGCCATTGTTGACCCTATTGCAATGTTACGCTAATGTTTTTATCTTTAATATAATTCTTTTATAGCTGTATTAATTATTTTATACCATTTTTTATTCAATATTTACCGCTATGTTTTTTCCATCGTAAGCCATGCCGAAGGCTCCGCAGATGTTGATCATATTCGGTCTGATAGGCCCCAGTCCGGTCATGCATACGAACATGAAATACATCATCAACATAGTGAACGGTCTCAGGGTCTCTTTGGCCATCAGTACGTATCTAAATTTTAAGTAGATCCTGAAACAATCTGTCATATTAAACTTTATTTTTCAAATATTGAAACGAATGACTGTTGTACTACAAGAAGGAATGGGCTAAGGGTAATTGAAATAATAATAATAGTCTAAAGGAAATTTTATAAGAAAAAATAAATATCTCCCAAGTATCCCAGTAGACTTGCAGGCTAACATAAAGAAAATTAAGAGAAGCGATAAGTACTTTAAGGTCTCGTCACCACCATTAACCACATTTTAATTTTATTTATGAGAAAAACTAATTTCCTTATTAACAAAACTGCAACTGCTTGGGGTTGAAATATATAACTATTTTAAAGCATAGTATTGAGATTTCAATGGTTCTCATTAGTATTATATATATCCTAAGTATTATATTATTACATACTCGTACCTAGGATTTTTAGGTTATGGTCCGTACTCGCATACGGTTCAAGTTCAGTTCAAATTGTGAGTTCTGCGGTCCACACGTTGATTATTACTCGTTTTAAAGCTATACCGTATGTGAGTAGGGACCCTTAGGGAGATCGTTAATTTTGGTTGCAACATCTATTATTAAATAGGCAAAAAATTTTTGGAGTAACATTATTATTTGATTGAGGAAAATGACACACCTTAACGGTGACCTTCAGTCAATGCCTCTAGCCAACCGCTAAACGTTACATAAAACGACTGTTTACATTTAAGTATAATAAAAAATGTTGAAGATGCCTTCAATTTAAAATTTAAGTAAATAAGAATTGTAATTCACAATCATGTTAAGGCATTGTGGTTATAATTGCATGCAATGGACTCCCCTGTAATTCCCATTTTAGCAGTTTTTTAATGTAGTATTGTGTGCAGCAATGCTGGGCAGCTACAGATCCGAAATTGCGGTAGTCTCCTTCTATGAGGATATACTCCAGAAGGAGACAGTGAGGAGAAGGACGAGAAATCCCTGGCTTGGGTATCATGGAGAATCTCTAGAAACCCATTCCGCCAGAAAATATGGACTATTAGACCTTCAGAGCAGCGTCTATTAGCTAGGCGGGATGGGGGGAGGAATTCCATATAACCTCATCTCTCACCTGGGAGTAAGCTATGCGTTTCGCATTTACCTAACATAAAAAAGGTACTAAATAACCTGTAGTGCTTTTAAGATGAAAGTTAGGTGGATTTAGTAAGGGAACGCAATGTATAGCGTCACAAAGTATCTAAGGCTACGCGCCCGAGAACCACTATAGTGTTAATATTATGCTGACCTTTTTATAAAGTTGACTTTTGTATGTTCGCAGTCGAAAATTCTATCATCCTCAGTTTTACAGCAGATAACGCATCGTTGAAGTTGTTTACAGTAGATTGTAAGCTGATCAAATTCCTCGCGTACATTTTCTGGTTTCGTCCAACCGCGGAGGAAGCAGAGAGACTTCAGAGCCTCCTTCTCCCGTCCTTGTGATAACAGCCACACTGGAGTTTCTGGAACCTAAAGCCTAAATATTTCAGTTTTGGTATTCCATACTTAAAGGATAACTTTTTTTTTTAAAGGAAACGTTTATCATGGTGTTGTATCCCATGAATTGTATAAGTAGACAGTTGAAACTTCACTAACATAAAGTAAATTAGTAGTTACTAAACCCTTTTGATATATTTTTTTGGTTTCAATTTGGACGATTAATATTCGCTGAGTAGGTATACTCGGACCTCTCCAACCCAAGCTATGTAATGTACAAAAGGTAATATTTACCCAAATTATAAGCATCATTGTCACAATCGGCGCTCCCAAGCTGACCAGCGCCGCTTCGCGCCAGGTTATAATTTTACCTAAGAAATAGATTAGAAGAGTTCCACCACTGTAGTACAGCTGTGTGCTGCTGGATAGTATTCCCCGAATTGAAGGTTCTCTGCAATAAATAAAGGAGATTGCACAAAATTGGCCTAAATGCACAAAAAATATTGACATACACGGTAATTCTTGGCGTAATTTATAATTTAATTTACAGTCATTAGATTTCAACGGACACCTTTGTGTAATATATTTAATTTAAAAAGGACTTTTAATTTTACCGGTTTCGAAAACATACGAATCATTTTTAATGGCTATGGGTGTAGGAACATTCAGCCATAGACTGATCGAAGTGTTTATATAACATAAAAACAAATCTATCTTGTAAAGACCGATAAAATAAATCATTTTTTTATTACACTATGGTATTAATATCCACAACTATATTATCATTTTCACTAGATGCAAATGTGCTCAGACAATTATTATAGATGGTAGGCGACATAAAGTCTATTGCCATACATTTTTCGCCAAACTCCTCCATAAACACATTATAATCTGTATATATGTTGGTATCTATCTATGGGCCTACGTTCCCTGACTATAAATTAATAAATAAATAAAATTATAAGGTGTGATACACTAAAAATCTAAAATATGGTTATCTTATAAACATAACAAATATAATGAAGCTACTGAATACATGGCTATAGAACCTAAATCTCTTAGCTTTCTTTGGTTAACGAGAGTTTAAAAATTCTCTCTAATCTGTGGCTCATTCACACTCATCACACAGTTTCTGTCACAGAGTACCAACCTTATTATAACCGGAAATGACACCTGATTTTAAAAGTTACTCTTATGCATTAACTTTAAAAACAGGCAACTATCTGTTAATCTACATGCTCTATATACCTGAATCTAATCCATAATTTCGGTACTTGGCTTGATTTCCCTAGTTTACTATATAACTTATTTGCTTTTTATTATTTTAATATGTTCAGTGTATATGGTTTATAGAAGTTCTCAGGGGTGTCCGTCAATTATATTCGTTTCTACAGTAATTTATATATAATTTCGAATCTAGGAAACAATTTTTCATGATTATTGGTCTTTAGGCCAAACATGTATGGAAGCTGAGCAATCTCCTTTAACATTAACACAAAGTTATTATACGGAATATCAGCTATAACAAATTTGTTCTCGTCCGTACTTCATTCAAAGTTCAGTGAAGGCTTTCGACGGACGTTAATAAATTGATTGTAGGATATGGATTAACAAATTGTACCAATGTTATAAACAACAGCTTAGGTTAATGGGCTACAGTCTACACAAATTCTCTTCACGCTTTAAATCCTTTGCAGTTCCCAGTTCAGAATAGAAGGTTTATAAAATTGTTTATGTGTATCATTAATATGATTGTATAAAATATGCCGCAGCCATTTGGTTGTATTAGCCAGCCAATTAGACGCCTCAGCCGTTCCATCAACACCGTCATCGGCATTCAGTGATATATCTGAAGGAAAACTGGTCAAGTCATAGATCACAAAGTTGATATTTAGTTAGATAAACACAGACATTGATAAATTTGTGGGTTAGATATATTTTGCTGACTACTAGCGCTACAATGAAAAACAAAGAATACTGTCTCTCTCTGGGGACGATCCCTCATGTCTGAGGATCATGCTCAGCGTCAGCTTCTGTTCAGTTGCATCTGGAGCGGAAGATCTGCTTCCACCGGTTTCTGCCCAGCGCTCTCTTAACAATGCATTAAATTTGCATGAGGATGAATCTTTAATTTGGTTGGTCCATCTTGTTGGAGAACGACCGCGCAATCTTTTGCCTTCGTGTTGCCATAAACAAGTTTTTCCAAATTCATTCATTGCCTCTGCGCACTGTAAAAAATATTGTACCAAACCTGAATTTCATGGCTGAGTTTTGCTCAGCTGTTTTCACCTGGCTGATTTTCAATACCCCCAGTTTTTAAATTTTGAGTAAATTATAGTTTATTATTTATTGGCTTACGACTCAAATTGGATGCCGCCATGTAATGAACGGCCAAGGCGTGTAATTCGGTATCCACTTTGGCTATTAACCATACGGTTGCGACACAAATATTACGTGATCTCCCCAATGTATGCATTGAGGGGCGCCTCCATTAGTCCAGTTCCAAATCCCAGTAAGCCATTAGCGATAAACAACATGGGTACGCTCGAAGAGAAGTAGACCAGGATCCAGGCCACTATATGGGGGAAGTTCACCATGAATGTGGACTTCTTCCTGCCGAAGTAGTCTATCAAGGAGCCGGAGAGAACCGCGCCGAACGGTTGCGTGAGGAAGCCCATACTGCCTGGTAAAAAGATGGGTTAGTAATGTACATTGGTTAGGAGTTTTCAATCCAAAAGAATTCTCAAACTCCTCACTTATGGATTTTACACCAATTACTAAACTTCCCTCTGTCAGTCTTTGTCACTTTAAAAAATGCCACACAACTTCCTCTATTTAGGTTTTCAAGAAAAAATATAGCATGTATCACTCGTGATGATTTAAGGTGTCTAACGATACAAAATACAAAAAAATCTATTCAGTCATTTAGAAGTTATAGAGAAATGAAAAAACGAACAGACTCTTTTGGCAGTCGTTAAAAAAAATAAAGGGGGCCTCGTTAATAGAAAAAAAAAATTGCACTATATATTATTAAATATTGCAATAATATAATATGAAACCCATCATTTCCGAGTTCGACCAGAACTTGGTCGGATTTTCCCGATCCCCATCCTATCCTATATCCTATGTATTCCATATTTTAACTTTGGCATCATCAGAATGAGTACTATGTTGTTCAAATATATAATTTCCTTACCCAACCATGAAGCTTGCGAGTCGGTCAGCGATAGTTCATTGTTGGAGTTCAATAGTTCCGGAGTGAGTATTGTTGGGAAGCCAACAGCCAAAGCTAAACCGAGTAGCATCACATTCAATGATAGACATGCTATAACCTGAAATATATTGAAAAAAAGAGTTACAATATTCATATTATATTTAAACAGAGCAAGATCGGTGCGGAATTAGTCATATGCCGTTAAAAATATACAAGAAATCCTTGTAGTATATGCATTATGAAGTTACAGTGGGCCGCTCAGATGGTAATACCCACTATCACAACGAATAAGACATCTTCATTTGTGGACAATCAATTAACTGTTCTGTCACTATCCTCAATATTGGACTACGTCTAAGGCTTTGGATACACCTAAACCGTTATCAGCCGAACTATGCCATAGTGCTCACATAATGCTATAATGCAATGTTATGCCACACATAATTGCGAATTTGCATCGTATCGCAAATATCGCCAGCTTGCACGAATGCTTCCAATCTGATTCGCATAACACATTTCTGGGATTTTCCGTCACACTTGGTGAAACCATGCCCATATAGGGCACCGGCCGCGCCAACATATCACGGGAAAACGTCATCGAGTGCCAGAACAAACTTGTGTCTGAAGTCGAAACTTTGTTAAACCAAGTAACGAATTGGGGCCGACTTAATCTAGTTCAATTTAACCCTACGAAGACACAAAAATGCGGGTTCACCGCAAATAAAATACCATTTGTCGTATCTCCTCTTTTTTAAAAACACTCCTGCTCAGCTAGTATTAGAATTCTTGGCGTTGACATATCGAGCGACGTCCAGTTTCGGGATCATTTAGAGGGCAAGGCCAAATTGGCCTCTAAGAAGTTTGATGTGCTCAATAAATCTAGAATGTACTTCACACCGGCCCACCGACTGCAACTTTATAAGGCACAGGTTCGGCCTCACATTGAGTACTGCTCTCATCTTTGGGCGGGGGCACCACAGTACCAGCTTCTCCCTTTGGATCGCATCCAGCGCCGAGCGGCTCGAATCGTCGACGAGCAGGACCTTTCCGATCAGCTTGATCCTTTGGCTTTGCGTAGGGATGTAGCTTCGCTCTGCATCTTCTATCGCATTTATCACGGGGAGTGTTCTGAGGACTTGTTCGGATTAATTCCAGCTGCTGCATTTCGCCATCGTACATCGCGACAAAAAATTCATCCCCATCATCTTGATGCGTAGCTATCCACAACCGTGCGTTTTTGTCGAAATTTTTTACCACGTACGACAAAACTGTGGAATATATTGTCGCCAGCAATGTTTCCGGACCAATACGACCCAAAAACCTTCGAAAAAAGAGCATGCTCCTTCCTTAAAGGCAGGCATCGCATTTGTCATACTCCTGGTGTTGCAAGTGTCCATGGGCGACGGTGATCACTTAACATCAGTTGAACCGTCTGCTCGTATGCTCCCTATAACATAAAAAAAAACATTTTAGTCCGCATTGAGACTACCCTTGTACGATCATTTTTGAAAACATGGTGATAATAAAAAAAGTTCTTCATTTTTCAATTTGACGACTCTGTAAATTATAAAACAGGGAGAAAAAACATCCCTTGCTGCGTTTCTTGCCGGTTCTTCTTAGTACAAGATCGTAGATTTACGAACCGATGGTGTAGCTTCTAGACATTCATGAGTGCTTATAACAGCCTAAACTGAATAAATGATTTTGATTATGATTATGATTATGATTAATAGTAAATTGTCCAAAACTGAAGAAATCTAAAGATGTCCTATTCGTTGTGATAATGTGTTACTATCTGAGTGCGTGGCAATGTAAGCAGCAGTCCAGAGGGCAATTTTATGAAGCGTTTTCCGCCGTTTTATCTCTACTAGGTGTAATAAAATCTATAACGGGTCGTAGAGGAAAAAGTTTTGGTCGATTCAAAAGAGTTTTATTATGCATCTAGTTGCACCAACAAACATTAATTTTGACTTATGAAGAATACTTTACTTAAACAGGAGGATAAAAGTTAAAATAACATCGTGTTATCAATCTTAACTTGCTCATTTTTACAAGTTGCCACTACTGATAATTTTTATTTATAAATTGAATGGCACGTAAAACAATAAACAACTCCACACGATCGTAAGTTAAACGCTCATTATAAAAACATTGTATAAGACGACTCTCCATTTAAGTAAATGTTTACAATGTACTATTTCAATACATATTGGAATGGTTTAATGCTATTTTTATAAATTACTTTTGTTTTCCACTTGTCTGTTATGGTATAATAGTCACATGTTTGATATATATAATAGCAGATTTGCCGCTTGAATTGGAGCACCTGTTTGTGTGTATGCTCCTAAGTTCTAGGTCCGTATCAAAAAATCGCTCTCAAATGTGAGAATATGATCTTCAGATACTGTTTTTATACAAAACAGAATCTAAAGATCATGCTCAAGATCGCTCTCAGGGTAATAGCGATCTATTAATAGGCCCAAATGCTTCTATCTTACATCCTCGACATTATCAAAGACTCGCGTTTCTATTTTCGGAAAAGGATTTTACTTCGTAGATTTAGAAAATTTCAGAAACTATATGGAATCTAGTTACTGTAATAAAATACATACGTAATAATATGTACCATATCAAATTTCATCCGAATCCACTAAAAAGCGCTTTTATTAATTAATATTCTACAGCCGAATGTTAAGTGTGTGTCTGATGTTTACTACTCTATAGAAAGAGTAATTAACATCCATACAAACTTTCATATTAATGATATTATTAGGATGCTTTCAAGCCTGTAAACCAATTTAGAAAAAAATAAAAAAAATGAAATTTGCCTCGGAGAAGTAAAAAATGCCTGTGCAACTTCGCAGAACAATTAAAGAATGGGAAGGCAGAAAACAGAAGGGATAGTTTCGGATAGTTATGTTCGACGTAAACTGGTAATATGTCTTTATATTTATCGTACATCTTTTATGCCTAAACTTCATGAAATATCTCATATTGAAGTCATTTTTCAATTTGACGACTCTGTATGTAATTCAGGGAGAAAAAAACAGCCCTTGCTGAGTTTCTTGCCGGTTCCTCTCAGTACAAGGTCCCCCGCCGTAGATTTGCGAACAGATAGCGTAGACTGAATAAACGATATTGTTTTGTTTGAATTTCATTTTCTAACAAATCTTGATCTATCTGGTTGAGAGGTTTGCACTCCTGTTTTCATAAATCTGCAAGGTACTGCCGTGTTATTCTGTCGGAACAAACTCACGTTTCACCTCGAAATCCGCAATGTGAATTAAAATTATAACACGAATTTCAAATCACTCCGGCCAGTTCCAGGATGAAAAATGAGTTTATGCTTACGGAAGAGCACTACTGGGAGTGGTTACTATCGATTGTTATGTCCGTTTGTTGTCATCATTTGAAAACGGAATTCTTCAAATACGAAATGCAATTTCCAATCTAACTTAACTTTTAGGCATGCAAGTATAAAAATTTTCCAAATTTTAATATTGAGAGAAACAGTTAAAGGGGGCAAAACTAAACTTACCTGTGATAATACCGATCGCAGTCGACTAACGTTGGGTTTCACAACTTCTAGTTTCTGAACCATTTTCACTAGTTGCCTTTAACAATTTTCAAAAAGTTGCAGAAAGTATTATAAAACTTTCCCAAAGTAACACCTAGTAAAAAGTATAACACTGAAAAAATATTTCCGAGTTAATTAAGAATTCACTAATTGAATCTCACATATTGTATACTGTTTGATAACTCTTAAATTATTTAGTCGCAAAATAACAACGATTATTTTTGTTATATTTCATTTACAACCCGAAATACAGACTCATTTTTTACAGGTCAATTTTAACGATGAGTAAAGCAATCGAACTGTAATTGAATGATGTTTAATTTCAGAGTCACTCGTCTTGTTTAGTACACAAAAGCGAATGATGTTACCGCTCAGATGTACAAGGCACAACGTTTCGCTTCGAAATGTCACCTTAGTACATTGTCTTTCATATAACACTTTGTAAATGGGGCGGCAGCGTTTTCCTCGGCAATATTGTAAACAAAAAATGTACTCTGCCGTGTTTTTATTTACAGTTATTTCTGGCTGTGGTTGAAAATTGTTCACCATCAATGTCTACGAATTTTACTGAATGTTGGAGACAAAGATACTCTGATGCATCAGTTACGTATAAGATTGAGAATTAACATGAAATAACTAATTCAGTGTAATAGATATTTCATATCAACGGATATTTATACTTATTTTACCGAATCTGTACATGGCATAAAACGAATTCGCTTCCGACGTGCCATCTCTACGCTTAGGTCTTTTAAACTACGTGACGAATTTTAAAGCAGTTTTCTTTTTTCAAGAAGAAGGGGTTTCAAATGACCACGGACAAAAACTATAGTATTTCTTAAAGTTGTTAGGAGTGTTTCATAAAGAGGCGACTACAACATATAAGATGTTTGCGAGTTGGTATACATGCACCGTTGCCGACTTTAGGTTCTCCTATCCTCTACCTACCCTGGAACCAAACTCATCGATAAAAAAAAACAAAAAATAAAACAAAAGGTCGTGTTATTTCACCGTGATCTTCGGCTGGTGAAGGTTACTTCCACAGACGGAAGCTTTCATAGTACCATTACTGGGAGCATGACAGAATGCGTTACTTGGTGATTTTTACTCGTACGTACGGGAAATTACTGAACTGTGTAGGCCATGGATCGGCAGTATTGTTTAATATTTGAGATGATTAAGGATATTATATTTTATCCATGTCTTCTTATACTATATATATTATAAGGCGTCAATGTAAAAGTATTTGATTAACAACCGCTATTTACGTCGTTGATGGCATCGAAAATGCTAGTATAAAATAGATATGGTAATATATGGTGTCATTAAAATGTTTATGTACGTACATTTGTAGCTGAATTTATTACAAAATCGTGAAGTAATTTAATACCATTGAAGTTATAAATGGCGTTGGCGGGCTCAAATCATTAAAATAATTGAGTGTCCATCATTACAAAAGATGTCGGGTTAAAAAGGTCATTAAGTGAATGGTCGTGGGATAAAAGGGCTATTATGGAAAATTTATATTTGACAGAAGTCATCTACGAACAAGGTCTTTATTTCAAGTTACCAAGGGGGTTTTTATAGCTAAATATTCACGGTTAGAGCCTGCGCAAACGAGACGTGACTGAAGTTTGCTGTGTACGTTGCTGCGCCTAGTCACAAGAGTTCTATTTTTTTCGGGGATTCCCGCGTACTTTTTTTCTGTCCAGTCGTTCGGCGTCCTCGGTTATTCAGGGGAACTTTTGTACGCATGACTTTTAATTCCTCGTGCGTGCAGTTCGATGCAGTTGTAAGTGAACCACGTACTAATGACTACGCCATTGAGCTTATAAAAATATCAGTGAAAATCTAAAGAAAATTTAATAGAAACAAATCCACATAGTCCAGGCAGCAGACTGGACTCGAACCCGCACCCTCCGCTATCCAGGCGGAGGTTTATGCTAAGCAACTAATAATGTTACCATTACCGTTGACCTATTTGACTGGACTTACCGATCATTTGGTGTTTTACAGTATAGGGTTTACAAGGCTTCAACGGTAGGTAAGATATCAAGGTTCTGGCCCTAAAAGAAGCGATAGTTAGAGCCTATCTTCGCGTCCGAATTAGAGGCTGATTTTGTCAATAAAACAGCATTCGCAATTCTTGATACGATCTTCTTCTAGACAAAATACTTCTGGCCTCTTAATGCCAATGTCTCCTGTTTCCTAAAACAAACCTTTTTACACGCTTTTATAAGGTCGACCTGTTTGTAGCAATGTAATGGAATCTAAGGTAACAAATTAAACTATCTTTCAAGGATCTTAGCGTAATGAAAATTGGCAGCTGTATGTAGTTCTGATGACATTTCAATAATATGATACTGTTTAACTGATCTGATGATGGTACCGGAAGATATGAACTGGAACTTCATGATGGAACATCGTATCATAGCTGTTTTTGGATTTCTTAGAAAAGTCTAGTAATAAACTTTGACCACGATTAGGTTACAAGGTGTGATGATGAAGCCGGAAGATAGGCAGTGGCATTCCATGATGGAATATCGTATCATAGTCGTGTTTGCACTTGTGAGAAAGGTCACGTAATGGACTTTGAACACGATCAGGTTTCAAAGTTATAATAAACCTATTATATATTGACTTGTAAATATTGAGTGTTAATAGTGTAAATATTGACGTAGGTGTCTGTATAAAATGTATACAGACCTGTACATGGAGAGTTTAAATAGAATAATATTGATATATCTATATAACATGTATATTGACGTATTAATAGGGTAGTAGCTTGTTAAATATCTCACTCAAGCCATTGTGAGAAACGTGCTGAGGGCTGAATAGCAAAGAGGGTGGTTCATAATATCATGTCGCTAGCGTCACCTAGGGAATCGAGCGAAACCTTGTTGTAAATAGCCTTGTTCCTCTACACGTACCTCTGAGGGATCAACCGTTTAATTGTCCACTACTCGTGGGAATAATATGGCAAAAAAATACAAAAAAGACACAGCAACACAAAGAAAACGGAGACTACAAAAAAAGGAAAAGCGCGAACTTAAAACTTAAAAACTCAGTGAAAAATGTTAAAAATATTTCGTTATCAAAGACTAAAAAGTGTAAAATAAAACTAGAAAAACACGCTTTTATAAATGCACGGAAAAACCAAAAATAAATTATGGATCGTTCAAGTTGTCTCTATTTGTGGGCTGAAGTGCTTTTAAACTATGTGATTTTAATTATAATATTTTATTGTAAAAGCGTGGGGCGCTGGAACAGGAAAGACTTTTTGTATAATTTGCTGAGAAATCAAGTTAAGCGACGTTACGGGAAGGAGGTTACACAGATTGGCGCTCCAGTAACTGGAGTTGCAGCACGACTAGTATTCCCTTAGAATTAGATATTCTATTCATTATAATGGAGAATATCGCATTACTAATATCTGGATGTCTCAGCAAATTATACAAAAAGTGTTTCCTGTTCCAGAGCCCCACGCTTTTACAATCAAATTATAATTAAAAGCATAGATACACATAGATTACACTTCGGCCCAGAAAAAGAGACCACTTGAAGGATCCATAATTTATTTTTGGTTTTTACGTGCATTTATAGAAGCGTCTTTTTCTAGTTTTTTTATAAACTATTAATTTATTATATTATGTTTTAATAAACAAAAGATAAACGAGATTGGACCTTACAGGTTTTATTTTCAGATGAAGTATGTATAAAAGGTTTTTTTTTAACTATTTACGGTAGGAAGAACACGTAACTGGCACTTAGGTAGATGGCATAGGTTGTTCTTGTAACTTGTAAGCCGAGCGAAGGTGTGGAGGATATTAATATTCTGCATCAGCTATTTTCGCGCCTAGATTTCACCTCCGCGTAACAGCAACACGTACGTGTATGTGGTTTATGGGTATGCGTCATTGCTCTACGAGTTACTTGGGTAGTAAGTTCTTGGTCCTGGGTCTGTCTATACTTTATTGGACAGACAAATTAATGATTTAAGAGTCAAAAAGTTCCTCATTTGTAAAAAAAACACTGCTTTTAATTTTATTTCTTCTTGAATAGCTTAAAAAATATTGACAGGGTTGTCGGCAAAGTGCCTGAATTTGTCACTGTAGTATCACTCGATCTTTTGCAAGGTCTTCCTCGGTCTCGGGAAGAAGTAGAGAAGGAGGTGCAGGCGTACGTGAAGGTGGCGTAGAGGGCCAAGATTATTTAAAAGAGGTAAGAAGAAGCATCTTGCTGAAAGGCTCAGTGAAGGTGACTAGTTGAGGACCTTTTGCTCTGCATTAGCTATTTTCGCGCCTGGATTACTTAAAATCAGATCAAAATAGTTGGCGAGTTCAAAATGAAGATGGCCAAAAAAAAACTTGCTTAGTTCGATAAACATTAAAAATTTTGACGGATACAATTAAGTAAAAGTTGATGTATTAAATCGCGTAAATAAAACACAACTTTCAAAGTTATCACTCTATTTCTTTTTGAATCGTTTAAAGAGATTTATGACCGGGTCGTCTGCGAAGTGTCTAAATTTCCCGCTGTAGTATCCCTCGATCTCTTGCAAGGTCTTCCCTTCAGTCTCTGGTAGGAAGAAGTAGAGGTAGGCGGTGCCAGCGTACGCCAAGGCGGCGTAGAGGGCGAAAGCGCCGGCGAGTTCGAAGTGCGTTTCGAAGTTGAGGAAGGTTTTGGAGCCGAAGAACATGATGACGTAGTTGGCGGCTGCGGCGAACCCTTGCGCTGCGGCGCGACTCCTGGCGTAATCAAATATTAGACGCATGTTAGATTTGAAATTAAATAATACTTTATTCAAAGTGAAAGCTCTTTTAAATCGTTTAATATTTTTTCCTACCATTTCATACCATTCAAGATATCTTTTAGCTGATGAGAAGAATGGGCGCAAGGTAAATAAGAAGCTCAATAGCACAAGTGGTTAGCGCTTTCAGTTTGGGATCGTGAAAGTTAAGCATCTTTTCCAAGAGCCAGTCATCGGCTGGGTGACCAAAAATTTACTATCTTGAGGTTGTCCGTCTGCAGTCGTTAACATCAACCACATAAATTTATCTACATGGGGCCTGTATGGTGGGTAATGCACCAATCTTCATATTAATTGTAGTTGATAGTTTGGCTATTCATATATAAAATCATATTTTCTACAGAAATTTTGAGAATGATTCAGCCTGCCTGTACTATCTTAGACTCACCTATTACCGTGTTAAATTAAGTGTAGTGCAACTGAGTGATGAGATTTCATTCTAATGTCTTTATATCTTTTATAATATCAGGTTTTTTTTACAAATCTGACAAGACCTAAACGATATAATCATAAAGCTACGTAAATCTCATTCTTACCTGAATGGGAATACTTCGCCAAGCAGCACCCAAGGTATACCCAATCCATTGAAAATAGCTAGGCAGTAGAAAAAGACCAACGGCACATAGCTTCGTTCTTGAGGGAAGGTTGTAGTGTCATATGAGAAGACCGTCGACTCTAGGAATTGTTTAGCGTAAATACTCAGCCCCATACAGGCTAATGCCGAACCGAACATGGCAGATATAGCCACCTTCCGTTTCCCAAGGAGTTTGATCAGGATTATGGTTAAGCCACTCGTGATGAACGTCAGTATACCGATCATGAACTGGAAACATAGAAAATAAAATTTACTTATTAACAAAAATATATGAAAGCCGCTGAGGAGCTCGATGGCACAATGGTTAGCGCCTTTGGTCTGCGATATTGGACGTTAAGAAATTTTTGCAATTGTCAGTCACAGATAGAACAACAGCTTAAAAGCAATCTGTATCCAGATAACGACTGAAGCCCGCGACTAATGTTTACTGTGACGTCTTTTAGGTGTAGGTGAATGGGATATTTATATACAGGATGTTTCTTTTAGGATTTATTATCGATCAAATTTTTTAGTTTAAAGTTAGGAAGGAAATTATTTTACTTATAAAACTACAACCAATAAGCATTCTGTTAAAAAAAAATATCGAAGAAAAATCGACCCAAAAAGAAGTTATACTTTTTCAAAGTTGTCTCATAGTTGAATTTAAAAAATAAAAAACTCGAAAACTACGAAAAATCGTAGAACATACATGAGGGTTAAATTAATAGATATGGTACTCCGCTATCAGCTCACACTGGCTTGACACCCTAAAAGAAACATCATGTATATCATGATGTTTTACATTTCTGCAAAGATTTTGAGTGATACGTGTGATATTTCTTTGTGAAAGGAGCTAAAGGTACTACTGCATCCAGCAATAAGCCAAGTGTATTTCTTCACTAAATGCCTTTTATTTTAAACAATAAGAATTTTAATAGTTTGATAGTCTAGGTTCACTTACCACTATATGCTTCCCATCATCGGCCATGCCAAAGGCCCCACAAACGTTGACCATATTCGGCCTGATCGGCGACAGACCGCTCATCGAATGAAACAGGAAGTATAATACCATTAGCGTTAACGGTCTTAGTGTCTCCTTGGTTATTATCACGTATCTGAACTTCAGAAGGAATCTGGAACAATAGAAGTATAGTCTGTTATTAGTTTTCGGGGGTTTTGACGAAGACGCTATTGGAAAGGGATTCAGGTGGAAACATAGGAAAAACAGATCACTAAGCATCAATGCTCATTGATAGGTTTTAATTGGTTCGGAATGCCAAACAGTCAAATGTTAAATATTATTGGAGGACTTCAGCCTTACGTTGTTTATGATCCACTGATCCGTACAAACTGATTTGTCAAAGAAATGCAGATCCGAGTAATTGATACTCATTTCAGCTTTACACTTCTACATGATCCTGAGAATAAGCGTCTTGGCTGATGAACAGACGAGGGGACAACAAAATGATCCTTTAAGGAGTCTGTTGTTTCTTCCGAGAAACTTAACCTTAAATATCTTGTAAATAATAATATTTCGATCGTTTTCATATAATACCAGTCCGAACAAATGACTACACCCATCCAGATGTTAAGTGATGGTAGAATCCACACGTAAGGGTAGCGTGGTGCAGCAGTTTTACCTGCCACACCAGCTATTCTTACCTTGCCGACATGCAAGTTGCTTCTTAAGGTTACCATGGGTTTTAGGCTGGATGCAAGAGGGATTGAATACGTAAAAGATAAATGCGAATTACTTAAGATTGGCAGTGACCATCTAACACAGGTAATTTTTTAATGTGGCAAGTGACACAACATTGCAGCTTTTTAAGTAGATTGAGAGTTGGTAGAACTCTTCTCGGATGTTGTCAGAGCTGGTCCAGCCGTTGACTACGGCAAAGATGAAACACGTGAATAGGCTACAATGCAAACTAATTAAGACTAACCTCCTAATACAGTTCATCTTGTGATGTTCGCTGTCTTTACTTTCGTCTTCCTCGGTCTTGTAGCCGATGAAGCAGCGTTCCAGCTTCTTGGAGTAGACGGACAGTTGATCGAACCTACTATATACTGACCTTCTAACACAGTTCATTTTGTGATGGTCGCTGTCTTTACTTTCGTCTTCCTCGGTTTTGTAGCCGATGAAGCAGCGTTCCAGCTTCTTGAAGTAGACGGACACTTCATTGAACCTTCTCTAGACTGACCTTCTAACACAGTTCATTTTGTGATGTTCACTGTTTTTACTTTCGTCTTCCTCGGTCTTGTAGCCGATGAAGCAGCGTTCCAGCTTCTTGGAGTAGACGGACAGTTGATCGAACCTACTATATACTGACCTGCTAACACAGTTCATTTTGTGATGTTCGCTGTCTTTACTTTCGTCTTCCTCGGTCTTGCAGCCGATGAAGCAGCGTTCCAGCTTCTTGGAGTAGACGGACAGTTGATCGAACCTACTATATACTGACCTGCTAACACAGTTCATTTTGTGATGTTCGCTGTCTTTACTTTCGTCCTCCTCGGTCTTGTAGCCGATGAAGCAGCGTTCCAGCTTCTTGGACTAGACGGATAGTTGATCGAACCTACTATATACTGACCTTCTCACACAGTTCATTTTGTTATGTTCGCAGTCTTTAGTTTCGTCTTCCTCGGTCTTGCAGCAGATAACGCAGCGTTGCAGCTTCTTGGAATAGACTGAGAGTTGGTCGAATTCTTCCCGGACGTTATCGGAGGTGGTCCAGCCGCGGAGGTAGCAGAGGGACTTGAGGGCGTCTTTCTCCCGGCCTCGCGATAGAAGCCATACTGGTGTTTCGGGCACCTGGAATTAAACGTTACAATATTTTAGGATAAAAATTTTGGAAGTTTTATTAACATGTCTCGGTTTTTTCAGGGTCCAGGAAATTACTTCACTATAAGCCAATTGTAATAATAGCTAATGCAGCGAAGTAACTCGTTGCTTCAGCCGCCTTCACCTTGGTAGTCATAAAAATATTTTCAATTTACATACATGTTGCTTTATTCTGACAGCATCAACTTTCATATTACTGAAAATTTAACGAACTTCGTTAAAAACGGCCGTAAGTTCTTAATATTTAATTTAAAATAACACTGTGTTGTGTCATGTACAGATCAGTTTCAAAATACTTGCACCAACATTTGTTGTGAAGCAAGAAAATAAATATAGTAGGAAAGAAAAAGAAAAGGAGAACAACAGGAAAAGGTTATAGAGTATGATAAATATTTACAAGATTGAAAGTATGTAGATACTTTCAAAAATAAAGAATAATAAAAGAATAGAGAATGACCGAGTGTGAGGATGAGAAGTCTGTCTGAAGTCGTGACGTCATCCGTGACACGGGTAGCCATGGCAACGGTGAAAAACATTAAGATGTCAAATGTGGCAGGAAAATAAGTAAACAAAATTATACCTAAAAATAAATAAAAACGGAATAAAACAAGGAAGAGAAAAATTGCGATGATAATAAGAATATATAGAAATGCCAGTAAATAAATGTCCAGCACTCTGGAATAGTGATTTTAGTAAATGGGATTCTGATACGTATTTACAAATTGAATTGTGCATTTTCAGGAATCAATAAGATAAATAATGCTAGTATGCTGAAATTGATGATTATATGGATGAATTAACTGTAAAATGGAACCTATGATTGCCAAAAGTAAGGATGCCCCTGAGGTACGTATATATACACATTTTTAATACAAATTAAAGTTTACTACTTTACATAATAAGTTATTGTATCTTTGTTACTTGTATGAAGTCAGATGGAGATAAGAATTAGGCTGAAACATCTAGGTTTTAGATTCAAGAGAGTGGGTCTTTGTACAAAAAAAAAATACTTACAAAAAGTATGAAAAGCATTGATACGATAGGAGTAGCGATGCTGATCAGAGCTGCTGTCCTCCAGTCCACGACGGTACCCATGAAATACATCAGCATCACACCTATAGCGGTGAAGAACTGCGTCACAGTGCACAGTGCACCGCGTATTGAAGGCTCTCTGTGAAAAAAAAACAGCGTGTGTAAAGAGTACGCATGTCAGAAGTGAAACAAACATTCATAATAATAATTATAAAAATATACTATAATAACTAAAACACGGTAATATTATTACCGTGACTAAAATCTGACGCTCAAACGTGACGCGGCCTTGGAAAGTAACCGTCATAGCGCGCAAAGAAGTTTCACTTCAAAAAAATAGTTTTTATTTGATCACCAAGCTGAAGTGGCAATCATCATCAGCCTATTAATGTTCCCACTGCTGGGGCACAGGGCTTCCCTATGGATGGAATAGGGAGATTGGGCCATGACCCACCACGCAGGCCCAGTGCGGATTGGTGGGTGCTAACGACTGCAGATGCAGCCGGGACCAATAACTTAACGTGCCTTCCGAAGCACAGAGGAGGTTGAGATAGTAAATTTTTGGTCACCCATCCAATGACCGACCACTGCGAAAGTTGCTTAACTTCAAAGAACGTAGCCGAACGCGCTAACCACTTGCGGCATCGAGCTCCTCAAGTGGCATTAGGTACACAGTTTAGCGAACCGATGGATGTCGGGCCACAGATTATTTTAATAGTTACTACGTAACAGATAAATCACTCCCTACAAAAATTCGTATGCTACTTCATCCCGTCGCGATGCGTCGGCGATCGTTGCGTGCTAAATTGTGCCTAATACACTCGACTAAAGTAGTAGTTACTATTGCCACGTTACGGAACCGAAACGGAGGCAGACGGCGCGGCGCGGGCGGCGCGGCGCAGCTAACCTACCTCGACCATCGATGGCCGCGACGTCGATGTATTGGTACTAATGATTTGATATCTTTGCTGCGTTGAATCTATGTTACTGATTTTATTTTACAGAGTACCAATGCCAAGGTCAATTATAGATATATCAGTACTGGTTATCTGTAAGTAAATATTGCACGCAATTGTTGCAGCAAAATATTTGAACATACTTATTTGAAACATAATATTATTATCTAAAATTCTTCTAAAACATTTTTTTATATAATGTTATTCATCGTTTTGTTCATTCAACAATAAATAAAACAATAGATTAATTGTTTTCAATTTGTAAACATCGGAGATAAAAATCGATGATTTTGAAACATCATCATAATCATCATCAGCCTATTAATGTCCCCACTGCTGGGGCAAAGGCCTTTCCTATGGATGGAATAGGGAGATTGGGCCATGACCCACCACGCGGGTCCAGTGCGGATTGGTGGGTGCTAACGACTGCAGATGCAGCCGGGACCAACGGCATAACGTGCCTTCCGAAGCACGAAGGGGCTCCAGATAGTAAATGTTTGGTCACCCATCCAATGACCGACCACTGCGAAAGTTGCTTAACTTCAACGATCGCAGCCGAACGCGCTAACCACTTGCGCCATCGAACTCCTCAACAATAGATAAATTGTTTTGAATTTGTAAATATCGGTGATTAAATTCGATGATTTTGAAACATACATGGTCACATCTCTTATTTCTGGCCCTCATAAAAGATAATTGAAAAATAGACTTGCTCTATTTGTGTTCTTACGGTGCAATGTGGGTGGAAAGCAAAGTTTTATTCAAACCCAGCATTTTGAACTGTATCTCCTTGTTATTAACGTACACAAATGTAAGAATAAAGAATGCACACAAATGCTTAAATGAGTAGAAAAAAAATGTAGTTGCGACACTCACTTACACAATGACACAATACACCGCTAAATCCCGGATACATGTATTGTTTGTATACCCAATTTGTATGCTCAACTCGACAGAAGTTGCCTACTCCCCTCCTGTGTATGCCAGGAGGGCCTGGCCAAGGCAGCCGTGCAGCCAGTATGCTTATTTGCTATCTCTTTTACATAAAATAATGGCATTCAATGTGTAGAGTGGACAGGAGCTTAATTTTTCTCTATAGCGGAATTTTGTTAACTCACCAATCAAGATATTACAAAAAAAACTCAGAACTTAATTATGTGTAACAGTCTGTACCTACGTTAATATGTATTAATTTTAGGTGATACTTATTTATTGATGTTGACTTCCCTAATCCGGTTTCGAAGTTCCGTATTGAATAGTAATAGACACTTCTTCAATGTCAAAATGAGTCCACAAACACACCTTGCCCCCCTTATTATTAGGCGCGTCTACACAGAGCGATCGGTTAATGTAGACGTGCCTCGGCCGAAGCAAGCGCGCGCGCCGCGGGCGAGCGACCGTGCACCCCAGCCATCGAGTGTCGGTTTTTTGTTTTGCTCAAAGGCGCCTCGGTCGCATTCATTCTCGCTCCGACCGCGGACCGTGCGCCACGTCGCACCGCCGCCTCCTTGCTCCGTGCGCCCCGCCGCACAGCTGCCTGCTTCGAGTCGACTCGACGCGCCTGCGCTCATTCGTGAGACCCAAGATTGGACCAGTGGATACCTAGCGGTGTTAACGAAACTGGTCGGCGTAGCCCCGGTACGTCTCGAGCTCTCCTGAGCTCGGAAACCGGAAGACCCGATCCCATTTGCACTTGGGCCTTCCCAAGGGTGACGGTTGTTCCCATATTCGCTAGGAATATCGGAACACATCTCTTACAGCTTCAACCGACCCCCTGCCGCGGGCAGGGGAGTCCACCGCTGTCGTATAGGGTGTTAGGACCTGCGGCTTCACGCCACAGTCAGGGCACTCACATACACACATCACATACACACCAACTCGACACACTACACTAAACTAACATGGACATCACACAGCAAGTACTGTCCTTCTTCTCCGCCCTCGGCCTCACCCTGGATGAGGCCGCCATCAGGGAGCTCGTCGCGAGAGCGCGCCCCATGCGCGACTCGCCCGCCAGCCCCTCCCCCGAACCCCCCCGCCCCGACACCCCCTGCCTCCCCGGGCCCTCGAGCGCGGGCAAGCGCCCCGCCTCGAGCCCGGTCTCGACCTGCGACTCTGACTCGACCATTGTGTCGGCGTCAGACGACTCCGTGTTCACCACTGTGGTGAGCAAGAAGAAGCGGCGCTCCAAGCGCCGCGCAGACACCGCGTCTCCAACGGCGCCCTCTGTCCCTCTCAGCCCTCTCACCCCTCTCACGGTCGCCCAACCGACCACACAAACCCACACAACATCACACAACACTACAAAACCACACAATAGGTGCACCGCCGCACCTATCAAGGCAAAGCCGCCGCCGCCCGTCTTCCTGCGCGATAAGGCGCAATGGGCAAAGGTCGCGGACCTTTGCAAAGCTCAGAACATAAATTACACACAGGCGTCGAACACTGGTCACGCCATTAAAATCACCACACCCACAATCGACACATTTAGGAGCCTCACAAGGCTACTAACCACTCACACAATCCCGTACCACACATACGCCCTCCCCGAGGAGCGCAAAGTCCGCGCGGTACTCAGAGGAGTCCCCTTCGAGCTCTCCAACGAGCTCATTCTAAACGACTTAACCGACCAAGGCTTCCCAGCCGAGGCAGTGCACAAGTTGCACAGCCGGACTGGGAAGCAATACCCGTTGGCTCTTGTCATTTTGACCTCGGTCCCGGCAGCTAGGGACATTTTTAAAGGTCCCATCACAGTCTGTGGCCTCGACAATATCAAAGTCGAGGCCCCACACCGGCGAGGCACCCCTGGGCAATGCCACAGGTGCCAATTATATGGCCACGCAGCAGCCAACTGCTCGGCGGCCCCGAGGTGCGTCAAGTGCCTCGTACCCCACCTCACTAAGGAGTGCACCCGCACTCGTGACGCACCCGGGGCACCCGCATGCGTGCTGTGTGGCCAAGAAGGCCACCCGGCCAATTACAGGGGTTGCCCGCGGGCCCCACGCCCCAGGCCCAACACTCACACTCACACAAAGCCAACCACGGCTACAAAAACACACCCACCACCACCACCTAATAACACCACCACAAACTTCCCGGGGCTACCCAAGGCGGCCGCCCCTCGCAGCCCGGCGCCCCCGACAGCCTGGGGACCAGCCAGGGCCCGCCCAAAACCACACCCACCACAACACACCACACCAACAACACAAGCTAAGCCAGCCCAAGACGTTTCTCTGGCCGAGGACATGGCGCTTATTCGCTCCTCGCTCAAGAGGGTGAATATCGCCGAGATCCACACTCTCGCCGCGAAGCTCCGGCTAGCTAAAACACCACTTGAAAAGGCTATAGCTATAGCCGAACACCCCGAACTCGTTGCCGCGTTCGATTAATTTTTTCATTATAACACTGGAAAATAACCAGACTCCGAACACAAACAAAAACACTATACACAAAACACGCGGTGATAACTCAAACAAACACCACTGTTGTTTAAATTATGACCGCGCAAAACACTAACATAACAATCACACAACTGAACCCCGGGCGTACCAAGCCGAAAGGCGCTTCGCTTGTGTCATTTAATACGCGCAGCTTAAAATCCAACCTCAACGAAATTAAATTATTTTTGCAAGATAGGGAACCCGACTTTCTGCTCCTTCAGGAGACTTGGCTCAAACCAACTCAAATGAAGGGGCTGTCGATCCCTAAGTATAAATTAATCCGGAACGACGGTGCCAACGCGCGCGGCGGCACCGCAATTTACTATAGACGCAACCTACACTGCACACCTATACCCACTCCCGCGCTCACAAACATGGAAGCCACCATCTGTAGGCTGGCGATGACAGGACACCAGTCCTTAATCATCGCCTCAGTCTACATTAGATCAGGTACACACCCTCACCGCGCAGACTTCGAAACACTCACTTCATTAGGTACATCAGTCATAATGTTCGGTGACTTTAACTCCAAACACACCGACTGGACATGCGAGACCACCACCACCTCTGGCCGCAGATTACTACACATAACCGAGGAGCTTGGCTATGATGTCATATGTCCCTACGCGCCCACCCACTACCCAGACAATGTACAAAACCGACCCGACGTCCTGGACTTCGCGATCCTTAAAAACGTGTCGCTTCGCCTCAGCTCGATCGAAACGCTCGACGACCTGGGGTCAGATCACAGACCGGTGTCTCTAGTTCTAGGTCCCCAAGACCCACTAGACGCCCCCGCGCCCCCTAAGAGGCTATTCACCAACTGGGACGGATACCGCTCCGCTCTCGAGACCGCTTTAGACTCCCCCGAGTCCCCGTTCCCTAACTCACCGGACAGTCTCGACAGCACCGACAAGATTGACGAAACTATAGAGTCTTTAACTTTACTGGTGACCGAGAAGGCGAAGGAGAACTCGCGGGAGGTTGAGCTGCCAAAGCCCAAGCTCCCGCTGGCCATCCGGAACCTAATCCAAACCAAAAACGCCGCTCTCCGGAGAGCCAAATTATACCCCACCCCCGAGTATAGGGCTACAGCTAATCGCCTTCAGCGACAAGTTAGGTCCCAATTAGCCGCTCTGAGACACTCCCGTTGGGAGGAACTCATGGCGGACATTACCCCATCCCATCTTGCGTACTATAGAATCGCGAAAGCGCTCCGTAGCGACGTCACCACTCACACCCCCCCGCTCACTCGCCCCGACGGCACCGTCGCCTTCGAAGACGACGAAAAATCTGAGTGTTTTGCAGACAGCATAGCGGCGCAATGCACGCCTAGTACGCAGGAAACTAACCCGCAACATATTCGCGGAGTGGAGGAGGAGGTCCGCCGGCGGGCCGCCCTTCCACTCATTGACAACCCCCTAGACCCCGTCACGACAGACGAACTCAGACAGACCATTAGAAACTTTAAGCAACGCAAGGCCCCGGGCGCCGACGGCATCTCTAACAAGGCGCTCAAGCATTTTCCCATCCAAATGCTAACCTTGCTTGCAATTCTCTTTAACGCATGTTTTGATCTGTGCTACTTCCCAGCCGCCTGGAAAGAAGCAATAGTGATAGGCATCCCCAAACCCGGGAAACCCGCGCACCTCCCCAGTAGCCATCGCCCTATTAGCCTCCTCAAGGCAATGGCGAAACTTTTCGAAAAAACCATACTGACCAGACTAAGAGAGCACCTCCTATCACCATCCGATCCTATTATCATTGACCACCAATTCGGCTTCCGAGCCAAACACTCCTGCCCCCAACAGATCCATCGCATAGTGGAGCACGCCCTAAGCGGCTTCCAACTTAATAAATATAAAACTATTGCAGTCTTCTTCGACGTCGCCAAAGCCTTCGACAAGGTTTGGCACGACGGATTAATCTTTAAATTATATCAATTAGAGTTACCTGACCGCCTAGTTAGGTTAGTAGCCTCTTTTCTATCAAACCGCACCTTCCGCTATAGATACGAAGGTTCACTATCAACGCCCCGCCCACTACGAGCCGGTGTACCGCAGGGGTCCGCTCTCTCCCCCCTGCTATACACAGCGTACACCAATGACATCCCTCAGACCAAGGGTGTCGAGCTCGCTCTCTTCGCGGACGACACGGCCCTCTACTCTAGGGGAGCCAGTACCAATCAAATCATAGCCAAGCTCCAACCGGCAATCACAACACTTGGGAATTGGTTCCGCGATTGGAGAATCGACGTAAATCCGGACAAAAGTTCGGCCATTTGCTTCGATCCCAAGCGCCGCACCAAAACCATACAACACGGTGCGCGGTCTCTGCGAATGCAAGGCATAGCAATACCGTGGCACCGCACAGTCAAATACCTAGGGATCACACTAGACAAAAAACTCACCTTCCGTGCACACATCACACGCGTAGTCGCGAACGCGCGCTTTTATATGAGCCGCCTCCACCCGATGCTCGGTAAATACAGCAAAATGTCACTTCGTAACAAGCGAACGCTTTACAAAGTTTGCATACGCCCGGTCCTCACTTACGCGTCACCAGTGTTCGCACACGCGGACGAAGCGATTTTGAACAAACTTCAAGTGCTTCAAAATCGCTTCTGCCGCATAGCCACAGGGGCCCCGTGGTACGTCCGCAACGCGGACCTCCACAGGGACCTTCAACTCGACACAATTCAAACACACCTCACAGAGTGCTCGGAACGGTTCTTCAAAGCTGCAGAAGAGCACTCTAACACACTCATTAGATCGGCGTCGGGATACGCTCCACACACTCCATCTCGATTCAGGCCCCGCAGGCCCAAACACGCACTCACAGTCATACACAATAAACTCACGCGCGATCTCGCGGCCCTCTTGGCCGCTGAGGATCCAACACCCGCGATGAGTCCCCCCCGCCCCCCCGACACAGAGAGGTTCGATTCCTCCCAGTCCCCTCCCGTTTCAAGTGCACATCTGAGTGCACTTGTCCTCTAAGCGCATTTTGCGTTATTTTAAACTATGCACTAGTTTAAACTAACGCAGCGCCGCATCATCCCCCTCTCGGGGGGTGACCGCTTCAGATGAAGCTTGTAAGGCCCTTCTGGCCATAAGCATGAATAAAGGGTGTTTTTTAGTCAGTAGGAGTCTGACATAACCCTACAGCCGGCTGTAGGGTATCCATGAGGATTTCTCACCCTCTCCCCCGCCTGGGAGGAAACAAAAAAAAAAAAAAAAGCGCCTCGGTCACGGTAATATTATTACCGTGACTCGGTCGTTTGCCGCGCGCACTCTGGACGCTCGCGTATTTTGTTTCGTGCCTCGGTCGAGCATAATAATTATGAATAAAGATCAGTATTTGAAATTAATATCTCTCTATGGTGTAAACACCTGGCTATGGAGTGCAAGTGATCCTAATTTTACAAATAGAGGACTTAGAGAAGATGGCTGGTTAAATATTAGCCACGAGATGAATGCCCCGGTTCCTGATTTAAAAAAGAAAATGGAGTCATTGATTCCCATCAATGACTCCATTTTCTTTTTTAAATCTTTCAGGCAAGAAAAATCACGAGAATGAACGAACGAAGAAAACTGGATCGGGCTTGCCGCGCTCGTTCGGGGACAGTTTCCTCGCTCTAGGCTGCTCGCTCTGTGTAGACGCGCCTAATAAACAAGGAATAAACTTAAACTAGTTATGCCGTGTTTTGTTCATGTCACTCTAATGCCATTTGCCATGAACAGAGACAAAACATGGAGTAACTTACTTATCCAAGCTTAGTCTTCGTTTATTAATAACGGAGAAAATGTTTTAACTCCAAACTAATTAAAATTTCAAATGCTAATTTTAGCGCCAATTTTAGTACCAAAGATTGTGTACGCGCAGGTGTGGGTGAAGCATCACCCTACAATTTACTGCGCGGCGACTTGCGTAAACTTCACGGTCGCCACCGTGTTTGAATATCAATACTGAACTATAGGTACTTAAAACCTGCGTAATCTCCCCAACGTAAGAGTTGGTTGGCGTCTCCATGAGTCCTGTGCTCATGCCCATGAGGTCGTTAGCGATGAACAGCATGGGCAGATTCCATGAGTAGTACATTCACGTCACCAAGCGCAGTATGTTCATCCTACATTTCGCTTACTGCGCGACGACTTGCGCTAACTTCACAGCTGCCAATTGTTTTGAATCGCACTACTTATATAATACTCACGTGATCTCTCCAACGTAAGAGTTGATTGGCGCCTCCATGAGTCCTGTGCTCATGCCCATGAGGCCATTGGCGATGAACAGCATGGGCAGGTTCCAAGAGTAGTACATGGTGATCCACGCCACCAACCGCGGTATGTTCACCATGAATGTGGCTTTCTTTCTGCCGAAGTAGTCCACTATGGGCCCGGAAAGGAGAGCGCCGAACGGCTGCGTGAGGTACGATAAACTTCCTGGAAGATAGATTTGTTATGTAAGAGATAGAAGATGCAGTGGCTATTGGAATCCAGACTGGACCAGCTTTAGCTCGCGACTTCGTCTCTTTTAACTTTAATGTTAACAAATTATTAGAAAGTTAAAAGATTTAGAAAGATAGAAGAGTTAAGACGTGACCAGGAAAAAAACCAAGCAAATGCGAGTCCGACTCTCCCGACAAGGGTTCTGTACAAATTTGTAGGTTTGGTACGCAACATAATTATAAACATACGTGTCTTTTTTCACGTTCACTTAGATGTGTGAATTTTTATAGCTTCAAGAGATATTTGTAATATGGTTTAAACACAGAACACAGAAAGAGGTTGGAGGGGTGATCATAGACCGTTTGTAGGGGGAACCGATGTCGCCGGCTCGCCCCCACTACATTTTCACTTTAAACTTAATAGCCAATCAAACGCCCCGGCATCAAACAATTGACGCATTCAGAAGTTTAGTTCAAGACTGCCCAACCCACAAGTCACTTCTAACCTCTTTCTGCGTTCTCTATAAACGTTCTGAAATAAAGGGTCTTAACTAAAATACGGATAAACAGCCGTATCTTGTTTTACTTTAAGTTAGAGATTTGATTTTTTCACAGCTTCAAGGGACCGCTGATTTGAGTATAATGCTGGTTTAAATCTAAACTCAATACCTTCACGCGTTCCCGAGATAAAAGGCATTGGAAGATAGACACACAGACAGATGGACACCAAAGTGATCCTATAGGGGTTCCGTTTTTAACTTTTTAGCACCTACTGAACCCTAAAAGGGAATAAGATTTAAAATTAAAAAGAACGTTATTAAAAAAAAGTGTGACAGACGCCCATAATTTAAAATATCGCACTAATATTATAAAGGCGAAAGTTTGTGAGTGTGTGTGTGTATGTTTGTTACTTCTTCACGTCTAAACGGCTGGAGCGATTTTAATAAAATTTGGTATGGAGTAACCTGACACCGTGGATTAACGCATAGGCTACGTTTTACTGCGGGAAAATATCCCTAATAAACCGCGGGTAGCAATGCGGGGCACAGCTAGTATAAAATAAGTACTGAAAGTCCGTGAGGTCCCACCTCACCTGACTGTCCTACCTACCTGGAAACTAGAAACGATATAGATATATAGATACCTAGTCACGGCCGTAGCTAGGGTGGGGCATTGTGGGGCAATGCCCTACCTTGAAATCACAATGCCCTACCTTAAAAATACCAAAAACTAAGATAATTTTTTATAATTAAATTGTTTGTATATGGGTTAAGATAAAAAAAATAGTAGCAATAGGTGCATCATTGACCTAGAGGTCAATAATATACATGGCGATTGATTTAGGAGGCCCGTGCTCCGAGGGCAGATCAATTATGATATTTTTTTTACTTCCGCCCTACTTGTAACCAATGCTGCCCTACCTCAAATTCGACTCTAGCTACAGCCATGTACCTAGTGTGGTGTAGTAGGTTTATCTTAATCTTTCCTCTTCTTTATTTAAATTCCGATATGGCCTCTACCAAAATTTTTAATCATTTTGCGAATTACGACCTCTAAGTATTACTTGCGCGCTATTTACCTTGACCGATTTGCCTACTAGTTTTTTAATCTATGCAGCTTTAACTCTTTCTTCACATCTTTATAAATTTTATATAATGTAAATGTATAAATTATGTTGTGTACGCATGTGCTGAAAAGAAGAAGATTTTACTGTTAATTGACACCATACAGAATTTTAAGAAAAAAAAACTATATTCGTGATTTTTTAACGAACGTTTAAGCGTCACTTTAGCAGTTATGTTTTTCTAAAAATTGTGTTGTGGCGGATGTTAGTGTCTAATAATGTTGGATTCATCATCATCATCGACCCATGCTCGTCCACTGCTGGACGTAGGTCTCTCCTAATGCACGCCACTGCTCCCGATTTTCTGCTACTCTTATCCAGCCCACTCCAGCCAGCCTACGAATGTCATCATCCCATCTTGTCTCAGGGCGTCCCACACTACGTTTACCGAGTCGCGGTCTCCACTCAAGAACTTTACGGCTCCATCGGCCGTCAGTTCTGCGGCTAATGTGACCAGCCCACTGCCACTTCAGTTTGCTAATTCGGTGGGCTATGTCGGTGACTCTGGTTCTCTGTCGGATTACATCATTTCTGATGCGGTCCTTCAGGGATACTCCGAGCATAGCCCTTTCCATAGCTCTCTGAGCGACTTTAAACTGGTGGAACAGTTCAGCCGTGAGTGTCCTCGTCTCGGCGCCGTATGTCATAACTGGGAGGACGCACAGGTGGAAGACTTTCGACTTAAGATATTGAGGGATGGGTGACGAGAAGACTTGACGAAGCTTATGAAATGCTGCCCAGCCCACCTGAATTCTTCTATTGGTTTCTCTCTCAAAGTTGTTTCTGCCTAGTCGGAGCGTTTGTCCTAGATAGACGTATTCCTGAACAACTTCGAGAGGTACTCCATTAACAGCAACCAGTCCCGGATCAACGAGCTCGTTGAACATGACCTTGGTTTTATCCAAGTTCATCCGGAAACCGAAGCGTTTGGAAGATTCAGCCAGGCTACTCACCATCTCCTGTAGGTCTTGCAGGGTTTCAGCCAGGATGACGATATCGTCCGCGAATCGAAGGTGTGAGATGTATTCGCCATTAATATTTATTCCGCGTCTTTTCCAGTTGAGCGTTCCGAACACGTCCTGCAGCGCAGTGGAGAAAAGTTTCGGGGATATTACATCTCCTTGTCTCATACCACGGCGCAGCAGGACAGGCTCAGTCTGGCCATTCTGGAGCACGACGGACATATTAGCGACGTTATACAGACATCTCAGCACCTCGATATATCGCCAATCAACTTGGCACCTCTGCAACGCCTCAAGAACAGACCAGGTCTCGACGGACTCAAAAGCTTTCTCATAGTCCACAAACGCCATGCAGAGAGGCTGGTTATACTCTTTGGTCTTCTGTATAACCTGTCTCACTGTGTGGATGTGGTCTATGGTGCCATAACCCCGTCGGAACCCAGCCTGCTCTGCAGGTTGAGCTTCGTCAAGTCTTCATGCAAGGCGATTCGAGATGACTTTCGAGAACAACTTATAGACATGGCTCAGGAGTGGAATTGGTAGATAGTTCCTCAGTAAGGTTTTATCGCCTTTCTTGAAGAACAATACGACCAAGCTCCGGTGCCACGCCCTAGGAGTTCTCCCGGAGAAAAGGACCGAGTTAAATATACGCTGGAGCTCCTTCAGCACCGGCTTACCGGCAGCTTTCAGAATCTCGGTTGTGACTCCGTCTTCCCCCGGGGCTTTTCCATTTTTGAGTTGCCCAAGAGCCGCCGATATCCTCGAGGCTGATGTCGGGGAGATCCTCCGTCACATGGCGGGTTAATGTCCCTCTTGAATCGCTCTTATCCGGCGTAGGGTGGGGCGAGTGCGACGCGTATAACTGGCTATAGTAGGTATAAACTTCCGAAAGAATCTCCGGTTTCGACGTGACGACTTCTCCATTTGTTTTGGTCAACTTCGTCAGGTGTCTCCTTCCAAGCTGTTGTACGAAGACTTTGGACCCCCGGTTCTGCTCAATTGTTCTCTGTATTAAGAGTGTATTGGAGCGTCAGAGGTCACGTCTTATCAGCTTGGAGATGGACTTATTCAGAGCCCGTTGTTCTGACGAATTGATTAGTGGATCGTTTCGCCGCTTGTCCATTAGATCCAGAGTCTCCTTCGAAAGCTTAGACCGCTTGCCCGTACGTCGTAGCTCACAGAATTTTGCACCCTCGTCCCGAAGGATTTCTACCACTTGGTTGAGTTCCTCGTCGATGTCAACGTCAATTGTGGTTTCCAAGGCAGCGAATCGATTTTCCAGTTTCATTGCGTTCAGTTCCAGTTGGAATGCGTCACAATCAACGGCCGATTGGAGCAGATTTGGCCGGAGCGTTGACTTCATCAATCGAGAGCGTTCAAGCTTAAAATCGATATTCAGAGTGGCTCTTAGAAGTCGGTGATCACTTCCGGTTTTAAACCTATTGATCACTGAGACATCTCTGAATATGCGCTTCTTGTCCGATATGATGAAGTCAATCTCATTCTTGGTCATAGTATCCGGGCTTCGCCACGTAATTTTCCTCTGGGGCTGTTTCTTAAAGAACTAATTCATTAAGAAAAGCCCCTCGCGTTCCAAGAAATTGACGAGCATTTGCCCCCTATAATTCCTACTCCCATAGCCATATGATCCTAACATCGATTCGCTGCAAGTCTGTACTCCCACTTTAGCGTTGAAGTCCCCCATGACAACGTTAAAGTGAGCCTTGGTGGTGGTGTGTAAGGCTCGAGAGATGTCCTCGTACATCTCTTCCACTACATCATCCGAGTATGTCGACGTTGGAGCGTACACTTGTATAGCCTTTAGGCTATACCTTTTGGTTTATTTTATAATGAGGTACGCAACCCTTGTCGACACACTGGAGACTTCAATCACGTTGTCAGTGAGGACCTTGTTGACCAGGAACCCGACGCCGCCCTGAGACTGATTATCTCCCTCTCTGAAGTACATCAGATGGCCAGAGGCCATCTAAGGACAGCGTGTCCTCGCCCTCTCTGCGGACTTCGCTCAGCCCAAGCACGTGCCATCTTATGTGCCTCAGCTCCTCCTCCAGTTGAGCTAGATGTGAGTCGAGCCGTAGCGTGCGACCGTTATATGTCGCCAAGTTAAGTGTTTTTTGGCGGCCTACCGTAGCCCGGAGATTCTTAGCACCCCCTGCCCTGCCGTAACCGAGACCGCCGCCTTAGCCTGGAATAGCAGGGCTACTGGGAACTGGGGGCCGGGACAATGTTGCGTTTTTTTGGTGGGTGGTTTCGCCAGGGCCTCGTCTGTTATACAGCAGGACGCACCGCTTGCAGGGGAGGTTGGCTTGGGACCCGAAAGATGTTGTGTAGGCCCCATTGCGTCCCATGTTCATTATTAACCACTAAGTGTTCGTGAACATACACAAGTGCTGGCAAGTGAAACAAAATACCGAAAAGTGTCTTTCGACGTTCCCTCAAGAAGTCCACGGGGAGGTTCCCCACAATAAATATCCACATACCAATCCCACAGTAAATCCCCACACATTGACTGAAACATAGGGAAAGGGGGATTGACTTGACCGCCACTTACTTTGACTTGATTTATTACTTTGACCACGAGTGCTATAGAATTTGTAAACATTTTAACACTTGACATTTATTTATTTATTTAATTCTTAATGCACAATTGTACAATGGCGGACTTAATGCCGTAGGCATTCTCTACCAGTCAACCATAGGGTGTTGTGGAGAAGATTAGTGGTAGGGTGCACATGTGAGGTGGAAATCACATTTAAAGCAGTAAATCACATTTCAACATAAATATTATATTAATATATAATAATTGACATTGGCTAAAAGCACAAGCCGTTCGAAGCCATTTAGAAAAAAAAGCGGTCGACTTTTGTTTCTCCCACAACTGCGTGACAAACTTAGATTAGACAAAGGGTTAAAGGGTTATTTAACTACAAATATACACTTTAAAGAATTTATTTTTCATGATCAATTTTATACTTCTTTTTATGTGAGTTTTCACATTTAAAGAATTAAATTATTAGTTTATCATGTAGTGAAAATGAAAATGTTTTTGACGATTACGATATAGAATACGCCGTGCTACGAACGACACACACAAAGAGTAGATTTGATTTGACTCAACATGCGTCGCGTGGCGTCCGGTCGCGTTACGTTTGACAAAAGTCTGTTTCTGCCTTAAAAGAGGTTGTGGTTGTGGTGAGAGACGAAAAGTTTGTATGTGCAGCTGAAGGAGCGAAATTAAGAGCGGACGCGAGTTGAGAGACATTTGAGAAATAGGTATTTGAAAAAACTATTTCTATAGAATGAGCAAAATTATATCTTATGTATGGAAATCATTTCTTTAGTGATAATAATCAAGAAGAAACAGACGAGAACGTTTGTATAGAATAAAAGCGAGTGTGCTTATGGCTGTGGCTAGCCCCAATAATCTGAAAATTATAAACAACCTGAAGATTTGTTGATAGAAAAAAAAACACCAATTCGCGCTGGGTTCGATATCACCAACCAATCCGCACTGGGTCCGTTATCACCCAGCAATCCGCGCTGGGTCCGTTATCACCCAGCAATCCGCGCTGGGTCCGTTATCATCCAGCATTCCGCATTGGGTCCGTTATCACCCACCAATCCGCGCTGGGTCCGTTATCATCCACCAATCCGCACTGGGTTTGTGTTCACCCACCAATCCGCGTTGGGTCCGTTATCATCCAGCAATCCGCACTGGGTTCGTTATCACCCACCAATCCGCGCTGGGTCCGTTATCACCCACCAATCCGCGCTGAGTCCATTATCACCCACCAATCCGCACTGGGTCCGTTATCACCCACCAATCCGCGTTGGGTCCGTTATCATCCAACAATCCGCACTGGGTCTGTTATATCCCACCAATCCGCGCTGGGTCCGTTATCATCGAGCAATCCGCACTGGGTCCGTTATCACCTACCAATCCCGCTGGGTCCGTTATCACCCACCAATACGTACTGGGTCCATTGTCACCCACATATGTTTAAGTAGAATGTCCGTGACTTTACATTTAGATATATTGAACGAGTTGCGAATCTGTTAGGCTTAAGAAGAGCGATCTTTATTTTAAAATGTAAAACAAGTTTTTTTTAATTACTCTGATAGTATTAGTTTTTTAGTTACTATGCGAGCTTAATGATTTGTTTCTAATAGTGTCCTTTAATTGCTTAACTGTTGTTAAAACGTTGACCTCTGACACTGACCATTATGCTACCGCGGCCCTGATGGCCGTGTCGAATTTTCTCTAGTACTTCTTAGGCTGCAATCCTTTCGCATTCCATTCCCCTATGCCTTATGCACTGCCTAATTTTATGTTATTAAAGAAAAGAAGTTTCACTTCATATGTGTGGTCCGTGCACACACTTTTTTTTTTATTTGAGTACTTACTTCAAGAATCAGTACTAGCACTAACATATGAGTTATATCACAGTTTTGTTAGTTAATACGGTGATTTGTACAGTGTACGTTCACCTTGAATTTGTAATGAGCTCGTTAAAATCATAACAATGAATAGCAAATTGTTAAACGCTTAGAGGCGGAATCGGAGCGAAATACATACACGCACGTCGCGGCACGTAACTCTAGCGCTGAAAAAAAGCGCGACGACGGTACGACTGCAGAGCCAATCGGTGCAATGCACGCCCACCCGCGCACCTCGTTTCCCCCTAAGACATCTTAATTTTTACTTCTGCGCAATAACGGTCAGCGCTAGAGTTTCGGACCGGGACTTACAGGTAATTACTTTAACGAATTTTCTGTTTTTGACCTATTTTAATGAAGAACAGAGGCTGTATTATCCACTCTTAACACCTGGCAAGTTCCATTGTTAGAGCGAGACATCACATACGCACAGTAGAGCGACATCCCACTTCAACCGCTGTTTTGCCTGTCGTTAAACGTTCATAGTACGGCCCCAGAACTACTTACGTCGTGGTAATTTTAAACGTAGTGCCTATTTCACTATAGAACTAATTTTTTTTTTTTACTTTTTTTTTTGCCGCGGACATAATAAATAACTACTTAAACAGTATTCTTTTAACTTAACGCAATATTTTATATGTGAAAACTTGTTATTGGCTAGAAGTTAACCAAATTAGATACGTATAAATAATAGCTGTAACTTTTACGAAGATATAAAATAAAATAAAAAACAAAATAAATATTTAATCTAAATAAAACAATAATTTACACTTGAAATACCTACATGAGTTAGGCTATGTTCAAACTATCGAACTTGCTCTATAGTTCGAGCACCAATTAAGTTAGAATTACTGTAGTAGAGTGCCTGATTGAAGCAAAATACTAAAAAAACACTATGTTATTATTATATTTATATAATAAAGTATTTAACTGCTACATTTACAAGTCTCTAGAAAATATCACCACAAAAAATAAGGCATCAGACGAGACCCGAATCCGTATCTTCAGCTATCCGGGCGAAGGCATTGAACAATTATGCTACCGTACTTTAATAGCTGTGTCGAATTTATTTTAGAATTCTTTGTAAGGCTGCAAGGCAGTGCCATCGTCACATTGTAGGACACCCACAATAAACCCGCCAGGTTAGCGGAATATGCGGGTTTGTTTCTCGTCTGATACCTGGACCGTATAATATTTTCAATGGATTAAAAAAAATGTTAAAATAGAATCTTACCAAACCAGGAAGCCTGCTGTTCATTTAGTGAGAGCCCTTCTGGGGCGTTGAGGAGTCCCGGCACCGCTATGGTGGAGAAGCTGATGGCCATTCCCAGGTCCAGCAGGAGAAGGTTCGGTGCCATACATGCTACCAGCTGGAATAAAACGTAATGACTTTACCTTGTCATATCATCATCAGCTTAGTAATCTCGCCAATGCTGGGGCACACATCACCCTAAAGGCCTGCATTTAAGAATGTATGTGCCCCAGCATTGGACTCCTGAGCTTTCTGGAGAAGCTGGGATGGCAGGACTGATGCCAATTCCCACGCAAAATAGGCACTGTGTGTCGAGTTGCGGAAACAGCCCGTCGTACTACTAAGACTAAGCCCCAGCATTGGGGATATGACTAGGTCTATATCTCCTCCATTCTTTGGAATTCATGATAAGAAAGGTAAGGCATAGCGGGTTTCCGCTTGAATTGGAGAAGTCTGGGGAAGTAGCCTCCAACTTACAGAAGAGCACAGTAAAATAAAACAACCTTGTGGTAGTGTTGTGATTTTATCTGTGGGTAAGGTTTCAGGGATCCACGGGGTAGGTGATTGAGTAAGGGAGGGGTAGCGATGCGATTGATATTGGTATCGCAGCTTTAAGCTATGGTGGCCGCTCACCATCAGAGGGACGGGCCATATTATGCTTGTCTACTACCCTGTTAACTTAAAGAGGTGTTGGTATTTCATGATGCACTTAACGTATTGTGCTGTAATGGTGTTTTTTATCTATTCTCCTTATTCCTTCGATAGAGAAGGCTTTTGCCCTAACAGTAGGTCTTGCTTTGGTCTTAAGGCTTATATTTTTTTACGTATTCCCTGGTTTGTATCACTATTACACCGCCTTATGGAAAGACAATCGTAGTTTTGAAAGAAATATCGAAGCTCAAGAAAAATGTTCATAAGAGGCAGAACATTAACTTTTTACTAGACCTAAAAGCTGCGTCAATGTTATTTATTAGAAAAAAGGGAATAGTATCTTAATAGTATGTATAAAAGGTAAGTATTTGAAAAAAAGTTTAATGTACGAGCTTTGTAATGTTGTTGATGTTAAGCTGTGTTTGTAATGTTGGAGCCACACTAACGCTAAATGCCATTAATTATTATCACGATGATGAACTCAATACAGCTGAAGTTAATACAAGCAGGCGTGCATGCTAACCGGAGTGTGGACCCCAACCTCATACCTCAACTACACTCAGACCGCGCGCGTAGTGTACGTTAAACGTACTTCATCGCGATAATTAATGGCATTTTCCCATCCCTACTGTGGCCTCAGCATAACAGATAAAAGTCACAAGTTGGCGCCACTGTGACGTAAGGTCTTTTGTATGAAGTTTTTGGAGCGAACTAATCGAATGAGCATTTAACTTGATCCATAGACTGTGACAACATATGCGATTTGATAGATAAGTAGACCTTTTGCCTCAGTGATGCCACCTGGCGCTCGTTATTTCAGAAAACCCTCATTAAAACCGCCTAAATTTTTTGCAGTAAAACGTACATTATAATAAAATTAAGAGGCAAATATTTTATCTGTTTTTACATGAATGCTCTCAATCAGCTGGACTCAAAAAGTTACAAATGTCGAAGTTCTAAGACGTGTCAGACAGACAGACCATCAAAACAAGAAAAGTTGCCTACCTCGGTCATGTGTTCAGACACGAGAGATACGATTTACTGCAACTCATTATGATGGGCAAAATTGCGGGGAAACGTCGAGTAGGCCGTCGGAAAAAGTCGTGGCTTCGAAACATCCGCGAGTGGACCGGTGTCAAGAGCGCCGCGGAATGGTTTCACCTCCCCAGGGACAAAGCGAGGTTTTCAAGGCTGATGTCCAACCTTCAGTGATTGGAGAGGAACATGAAGAAGAAGAAGAATATTGAAAAAAAATAATATTGTAAAATAGTCTTACGATTATCCTGATCGTAAGACTTACCTTCACATTATTATTTTTTAATTAAATTAAAAAATTTTTTAGTAGTACACACACAATACGTTAAAATAAGTCTTACGATTAGGATAATTTTGTAACATTATTATTTTTTTCAATATTAAAAACACATAAATTATTTGCCTCTTTTTTATAATGTAGGTACGTTTTAATGCAAAAATTACAGGCGCTTTTAATGAGGGTTGTCTCAAACATGATAATTTTTATATTGTTCCATGTGGCACAATAGAAAAATTACCAATACGTTTAAAGGCCAATTTACAGATCAGTTCGTTGAACACGTTAAATACACACATTGGTGTTTGTATTAAGTAAATTGCTTAAAAATAGCAGCTATTTTGTAAGTACTCGGTAAATAGCTTAAAGATAATGATGGAAGTACCACGGTCAGTGTGTTTAGTAAATAAGGTAAAACCCAAATACATACTAGTGAAGTGGTGACAAAACAGCAAAATAAATAAATACTATTGAATGTGATAATGATAAGTGTATTGATCGTGATAAGAAACTTTGCTTATCTAATATACAAAATTCTCGTGTTACGGTGTGCGTAATTTGAACTACTCCGAAACGGCTCGACCGATTTTCGTGAAATTTTATATGCATATTCAGTAGGTATGAGAATCGGACATCATCTATTTTTCATCCCCCTAAATGTTAAGGGTGGTCCGGTCCACCCTTAAATTTTTTTGGGTCATTTTTTTATTTTTTAGTTTTTTATGATACATCACACGAAAATACGACGACCAGGACCTTTCCGATCAGCTTGATCCTTTGGCCTTGCGTAGGGATGTAGCTTCGCTCTGCATCTTCTATGTTCTGAGGAATTGTTCGAATTAATTCCAGCTGCTGCATTTCGCCATCGTACATACATCGCGACAAAAATTTCATCCCCACCATCTTGATGCATGGCTATCCACAACCGTGCGTTTTTGTCGAAATTTTTTACCACGTACGACGAAACTGGAATATATTGTCGCCAGCAGTGTTTCCGGACCAACATGACACAAAAACCTTCAAAAAAAGAGCGTACTCCTTCCATAAAGGCCGGCATCGAATTTGTGATACTCCTGGTGTTGCAAGTGTCCATGGGCGACGGTGATCATTTACCATCAGGAGAGCCGTCTGCTCGTATAACATAAAAAAAACATACAACCCTAAATGTTCACTGTTCTACCATCAACCCCTATTTTTTAATGGCAGTACTAAGTTCGCTGGGACAGCTAGTTTTTATTATAAGTACAAGATCCAAAGACTGCCAATCAGTAAGAAAGGTTTAGTTTTTTGCTTTTGACATTTAAATTGTCTGGCATTAAATACTGCTGACAGAATGTGTCTCACAGTATTCATTTCAAATTGTTTACAATATTCCCTAAAACATACGTAGGAATCAGTCCTCAGACTGTTAGTAAAGTGAGTAAAGGACAATGTTAAAATTGGCCTAAGAACCAACACCAATTTGGCATTTATGATAATTCTTAGTATATTTTTTGCGATAATTATCAGTATTTAGATTGTGACGGACACTTCCAGTTAAGTAAGCTCAATTAAAAAATGGGTGCGTGTACTTATGTAGGCGCGTGAGAAGTTATCCTTCTTTGGCATCGTTTAAAATTAGTTTTTAATTGCATGCAAATAATTAATTACAATAAATAAATAAAAAGTCTGGAAAAGGACACAGTCAATAAAGTTCAGTTTTAATTTGAAAAAATAAATAAATAATCAAAATATTCAATTAAAATCGCTACTGAATATAATTTATTAGAACATATGTGATTTGCACTTGTATGAAACTCAAACACGTATTCCGAATATACAAACTAGAAACATGTGGATAAATATTATAAATATGAATACCTATAACTGTTACTTTATTACAAAAAATAAAGATGTGGTTTTTGGTTCTACTACATCAATGGTCAAGAGATGGCGCTGTAGTCTCCTGAATCGCGCTTTGGTTCCGTTGTTTCAGATTAATAAATACTTTTGATAGGCCTTCACAATGCAGTCGTTAGCACCCACTAAATAGTGATTTTATTTCTATTTTGTTGGTAGATTTTCTTAATATGCGGTAAACACAAAAGTAACAGCATGAAGTTGGTCGCTAAAGCAACCAACTTCATGCTGTTAAAATTTTGTGTTACAGTGATGCGCGCGCATCTAAAAATTTCACTCTCATCATTTTTTCATAACGCGCCTAAAGAAGTATAACTTCAAAAGTTAAAAAATAATCTGAGACAATAAATACCATTTTATGTGTATAATCTATGGCAGTGCTGCAAACAAAACACTTTTTCTTCCTAATGTCGGCACTTCACTTGGTTATTCGTATTTGCTATTTTAAAACATGACATCAGTCTGTCCTTTTCAATCCTTACTAAGCATGACAAGGACAAACTGTTGTCAAGAGAAGGGCCGGCATAAAATTCTTTACTCTGTGGTTGTGGTGCATGCAGTTTTCATTTGTAGTAATCTGTGGCATTCGTGCATTCCAAAGAGTAGTATATAATATACGGGAAAGTGCATTCTCGTTTCGGATTACCTGTTGTGTGTGTTTATTTGCGAATGTTTTTCCTTTAATTTAACTATATCGGCTATCTAATATGCCATCGATATTACGAAAGAGCAGAGCCCTTATTACCAAGTGCTAGTGAACCTGTGCCACATCCTGAGAGGATCTAATCAATAATAATAGCCAAATTATTCAAGAACACCTGATACACATTCACGCTGCATATTTACACAATATAATGTGATATACAAATAAATACAATAAACAATATGATCCAATTAAGTGAAAAATAGTCATTAAATAAGAAGCAAAACTACAGTTTTTATTTTATTCATGATTCCTACCTGACCAAGTTTTTCCTAATAGTTATTCTTTAAAATAGCACCGAATAAAATGAATTAGTTGTAATATAAATTCACTTCATACTGAGTTCATACTAAATTCATAGGTTGACCTATGTTTCATTGAATATTAAACATAACCTCAAAAAAATTTTAGTTTTCCTAATAATTTAAGTTCTCAGAAGTGTCCGTCACTAATCTTTGTTTTTACAGTCATTTACTTACGACTTTGAACCTAGAAAATAATATTTCATGATTGTTGGTTCTATTACTATGTATGGACGCTGAGCAATGTCCTT